AGCGGAGTGACGGCCCTCAGAGCCCCAGTGGAGGTGCTGTGTCTCGGGGCTGTGCTGATGGAGTGAGCGGGTGGGGAGGAGCGGGGCCTCACCTCCTGACTGAGCTGCTCACCGACCCCGAGAGAGGCAGCGGCTCCTCCCGCCGCCCGGGCTCCGCTATGCTCCGCCGGATCTTACAGCGGGTAAGTCGCGGGGCCCAAAGCGGCTGTCGGTGTCGGTGTCAGTTCCGTTCTATGCGGCTCCCGGTGAAAAAGGTGGCGCTGGTTTGGGCTGCAAAGGCCGCCCCCCTCCCCCCTCCCCCTCTACCCCCCCCTCCCCCCCCACCCGGGGCGGGGTGTGTGTGGAGGGGAGGCCGGGGCCGGGGCCGGGCCGGGCGGGGCCGGGCAGGGCCGCTCCTGTAGGCCCCGCTGTGTCGGGAGGGAAGCCCGGGCTGGGCTGGGGGTGTGAGGAGAGGGTATGGGGGGGTGTGGGGGGGGGACTGACGAGAGTGTATGAGGTGGGAGGGGGTGTGGGGAGTGTGGGGGAAGTGAGGAGAGGGTATAGGGTAGGGGTGTGGGGAGGTGAGGAGAGGGTGTGGGGGAGTGAGGAGAGGGTATGGGGCGAGTGAGGGAGGGAGGGGCGAGTGAGGAGAGGGTATGGGGGGAGTGAGGAGAGGGTATGGGGGGGGAGTGAGGAGAGGGTATGGGGGGCGAGTGAGGAGAGGGTATGGGGGCGAGTGAGGAGAGGGTATGGGGGCGAGTGAGGAGAGGGTATGGGGGCGAGTGAGGAGAGGGTATGGGGGTGAGTGAGGAGAGGGTATGTGGGGCGAGTGAGGAGAGGGTATGTGGGGGCGAGTGAGGAGAGGGTATGTGGGGGCGAGTGAGGAGAGGGTATGTGGGGGCGAGTGAGGAGAGGGTATGGGGGCGAGTGAGGAGAGGGTATGGGGGCGAGTGAGGAGAGGGTATGGGGGCGAGTGAGGAGAGGGTATGTGGGGGCGAGTGAGGAGAGGGTAGTGGGGGCGAGTGAGGAGAGGGTATGGGGGCGAGTGAGGAGAGGGTATGGGGGCGAGTGAGGAGAGGGAGCGGGGGCGAGTGAGGAGAGGGTGCGGGGGGAGTGAGGAGAGGGAGCGGGGGGAGTGAGGAGAGGGAGCGGGGGGGAGTGAGGAGAGGGTGCGGGGGGGAGTGAGGAGAGGGTGCGGGGGGAGTGAGGAGAGGGTGCGGGGGGGAGTGAGGAGAGGGTGCGGGGGGGAGTGAGGAGAGGGTGCGGGGGGGAGTGAGGAGAGGGTGCGGGGGGAGTGAGGAGAGGGTGCGGGGGGGAGTGAGGAGAGGGTGCGGGGGGGAGTGAGGAGAGGGTGCGGGGGGGAGTGAGGAGAGGGTGCGGGGGGCGAGTGAGGAGAGGGTATAGGGTAGGGGTGTGGGGAGTGAGGAGAGGGTATGGGGGGAGTGAGAGGGTATGGGGGGAGTGAGGAGAGGGTATGGGGGAGTGAGGAGAGGGTATGGGGGGAGTGAGGAGAGGGTATGGGGGGAGTGAGGAGGGTATGGGGGGGAGTGAGGAGAGGGTATGGGGGGGGGAGTGAGGAGAGGGTATGGGGGAGTGAGGAGAGGGTTTGGGGGGGAGTGAGGAGAGGGTTTGGGGGGGGAGTGAGGAGAGGGTTTGGGGGGGAGTGAGGAGAGGGTATGGGGGGGAGTGAGGAGAGGGTATGGGGGGGAGTGAGGAGAGGGTATGGGGGGGGAGTGAGGAGAGGGTATGGGGGGGGAGTGAGGAGAGGGTTTGGGGGGGGAGTGAGGAGAGGGTGTGGGGGGGAGTGAGGAGAGGGTGTGGGGGGAGTGAGGAGAGGGTGTGGGGGGAGTGAGGAGAGGTGTGGGGGGGAGTGAGGAGAGGGTGTGGGGGGGGAGTGAGGAGAGGGTGTGGGGGGGGAGTGAGAGAGGGTGTGGGGGTGAGTGAGCAGAGGGTGTGGGGGGTGAGTGAGCAGAGGGTGTGGGGGTGTGGTGGGTTGGGGCTGAGTGAGGAGAAGGTATGGGGGGTGTGTGGGGGGCTGAGGGAGGGAATGGGGGGGGTGTGTTGGGGGGTGAGGGAGGGTATGGAGGGGTGTGTGTTGGGGTGGGGGGGTGAGGGGGGTATGGGGGGTGTGTGTTGGGGGTGAGGAGGGTATGGGGGCTGTGTGTGTTGGGGGTGAGGGAGGGTATGGGGGTGTGTGTGTTGGGGTGGGGGGTGAGGGAGGGTATGGGGGTGTGTGTGTTGGGGTGGGGGGTGAGGGAGGGTATGGGGGTGTGTGTGTTGGGGGTGGGGGAGGGTATGGGGGTGTGTGTGTTGGGGGTGGGGGGGTGACAGACAGACAGACAGCCCACTCTGGTCCCCGCCGTGTCTCGAGGTGACGCGGTGAGGTGAGGATTGGCGGTTGGAGGCGGGAAGCCCGGCCGTTGGGTGCCGGGTTCTGGAACCTTCCTTGGGCTCTGGTCCTGCTCACTCAGCAACGACTATGACAGCGCTACTGGCTCCATCCCCCTTCCTCCCCCTCCATCCCCCTTCCTCCCCTCCATCCCCCTTCCTCCCCCTCCATCCCTTTCATTCGAATTCAAGATCTTCACCTACAAGGCCATTCCCGGCCTCGCTCCCTCCTTCCTCTCTGACCTACTCTCCCCCTCCCTACCTCCGTCCCTCTGGCTCGGTCTGCTCCACATCCCCGCCCCAACCGCCCGACCATCGGTGGCCTTCAGCCTCTCAGCCCCGAGGCTCTGGAACTCCATCCCCAGTGCCTTCGCCGCTTCCTCCCTTTCCTCCTTCAAGGCCGGTCTCAAGGCCTTTCTCTTTGACCTTCGGCCTTCAGCTCCGCTCTCGACTCTCTACCCCCTCCTCACCCCCTCCCTCCCCTCACCCTGACCATTTCCCCCCTCCTCGCTCCCTCCCTTCCCTCCCCTCACCCTGACCATTTCCCCCCTCCTCGCTCCCTCCCTTCCCTCCCCTCACCCTGACCATTCCTCCCCTCCTCGCTCCCTCCCTTCCTTCCCCTCACCCTGACCATTCCTCCCCTCCTTGCTCCCTCCCTTCCTTCCCCTCACCCTGACCATTCCCCCCCTCCTCGCTCCCTCCCTTCCCTCACCCTGACCATCCCCCCCTCCTCGCCCCCTCCCTTCCCTCCCCTCACCCGTGACCATTCCCCCCCTCCTCGCTCCCTCCCTTCCCTCCCCTCACCATTCCCCCCCTCCTCGCTCCCTCCCTCCCCTCACCCTGACCATTTCCCCCCAATGCTCGGGTCCCGACCCAACTGTACAGTGCCTTGGGACGTCCTCCCAACGTGAAAGGCGCTCTATAAATGGAATCTTGTTGTTGTTGTTCACCCCCCTCACCCCCCTCCATCCCCTCACCCCCCTCCATCCCTCACCCCCCACTCACCCCCTCCCCTCACCCCCCTCCATCCCTCACCCCCCTCCATCCCTCTTCCTCCCTCTTCTCTTTCACTCCCTTCCTCCACAACCCCAAAGTCCTGATTATTCTTGCTCTAAAGTCTTATTTATTTTTATTATTTATAACAAAAGATAGTCAATTTATTTTATTATAACAACTTGCATTTATACATTGCCTTTCACGCCAGACGGCGTGTTGGAGTACTTTATGAAACAAAATATACAGTCACTTTACAGTATATTCTGTGAAGCGCTTTGAGACGTCTCAACGGTGTAATAAGGCACTAAATGCAAAGATTATTATTTTTCAGATGGATAGTGATGGTAAGACTTAGGATAGATTGAATATTCCCCCACAACCAGCAGCTCATTTTTCACCCACAAAATATACAATCAATTCACTGTACGGTATATTCTGTGAAGTGCTTGAAGACGTCTCACAGATGTTATTGTTTATTAATGCGATATAGTGTAACTGGTGAATCTCACACCCACCATCAGCAAACTGCTCTCTATAGTGTCCAAAAGCCCCATTTCCATTTGATAATCTCCAGATTTGCAGAAAGTGCTGGACATATGCACGCGCACACATTACATATGGTGCTTCAGTTCAATATCTGAACTGCATAGTGAAGCAGCCATGGGGTAGCACTGCCACCGCCCCAACTATTCCATTGATCCTGGTGCCACCCTTTACTACAAGGCTACGTCCACCTCAACCCTGAACAAACTACAACACTTCACCATTGCTCCCATGTTACAATTAGCACTGACACCTGCTTATTCCTGTACATGTAGGTAAGTCGGTAGGTGTGTCGGTTCCCTATGAATGGTAGAATCAATAAAGCAGATGCCATAGGTCAGCTTCTGTGGGTGTTTTCCTAAAATTAAATGACTTCACTCTTTCACCTCTGTTTCCTGCTTTTTCTCTCTCTTTGTTCTCTGGTTCCTCTTCAGGTTCCTCCTTTACTTCACTTTAAATTGATAGACGATGTCTCCCTCCCTTTCTCACCCATCTATCTGGTTGTTTATATTCATATGAGGAGCCGAGGTAAAGCTACCCCAGCATTCCCAGCCATATGAAACCAGCCATTTTATTACATGAAGCCAGCCATTTTATTACAAAGAATAAACTAGTTTACAGGGGATGCCTATTATTAGTAGAGTAGGAGGTTTGGGAGTCCATAGTACATATGGAGTCCAGAAGTGTGGTTATAACACTTGCATCGCAAGTGAGAGGACCCAGGTTCGATTCCCGGGCGGGTCAGGGCGAAACCTTAGGCAAGTTTCCTTACTCCAAAAGCCTCTGTTTATCTAGCAGTAAATTGGAACCCAGTTGTGAGTCGATTGGCAAATCGCTTTCTGGGGATAAGAATTCTATATATTAAAAAAATCCACGATTGTTTGTGGGACACTGCTGTCTGCAATTGGCTACCGCATTTCGCCTACAAAATGCAGTCAGTTCACTTTACAATATTGTGCTTGCGACACCTCTGCGTGATAAGGTGCTGGATCAAATGCAAGGATTATTATTATCAATCTAGAATTCTGCAGTTTGCATTTTTTCCTTCGTGCATTTAAGGTCAAAATCCTATTATATGAATCAGTAATGGGTCCACTCCAAGATACAAAGATGGCCCAAACCTCATTTACTTACTCCCGGCTTTTAGTCAGCCCAAGCCCACATTCTGCTCCTCGACCTTAAAATACATTTGTGTTCCCTAAAGATCCTAATACAGCAGCCTTGTTGCAGTCTCTACATATCACATCCCATTCTGCCTTCCTCTCCCTAACTAAATGCGAGTCATGATATGCACTCCCTGCTGATCTCGCACACAGCTTCTAACTCTCACTTTTAGGGAAAAACAGTCTTCTGTAAGTGCTTCACCCCTTGTATCTTTCCAAGGAAGAGGAGATTGACCTGTTTCCTGGGCTTTGACATTTTTGTAATTAAACCATTCACTAATCTCTGTGACAGTCTCCAACTGTATATTTTTTTTAACTTCCGGGGATAGAAAATCAGGAGTAAAATAACTAACTGGGAATTTACGTCTGGACCAGAAAATATACTTTCAATCCATTTTACAGTATATTCTGTGAAGTGCTTCAAGACGCCTCAACGTTAAATGCAAAAATTATTATTAATATTATTATTTTGAGGTGAGACAGGAATGTAGCAGTCAGGTTGTTAGCTAAAGCTGATCATATAGTATACAATGCGTGGGTGATGAATTTAATTGGCACCTGGCACAGGGAGTAAAGACTCAAGTGCAGCCTGATATTACAAAGTATTTATTGCAAGTGCTTGCTGACTGGAGAACCAGGCCACGGTAAATCCATGTAATCTTTTCTGTCTGTCTCAGTTTTCTTCTATTGGGTGGTATCAGTCAATGATGTTTTAGCAATCATTGTTGTCGGATTGTCTTGTCAGAAGATTGCCTGCCTTGTGATTTCTTCAGTCACTCCCTCCGCCAAGTGAGAGATTCAGCGCTCTTCTACCACAGATTTTCATATCCTGTTTAGAAATGATAAAATAAGCAGATGAAGTAGTTTCCCCGAGACAGGGGAGAGAGATAATTAATGCAGCATGCAAGATGTACAGTGTAGGTGGTTAGTGGCTTGTTAAATAGAAATAGGATACATAGCACAAGAGGCTTGGGGAGAATAGATCTTACTGACCTCCAGTTTCACAATTAATATATGTCGTGTAGAATACATAGTAAAGTTTTTGGTAGTCTGAAAGTTGACCAGGTTCAGATGAGATTTCAATACATTTTGTTTTCCCCACATAATAGTCATGACACTTTAAAGTATTCTATGAAGTGCTTTGAGATGTCTCAACAACATGATAAGGCGCTAACTGAAACGCAAGGATTAGTGTAATTAGTTTCATGGTGTAACTTGCTATTTCCCTTTAAAACCCAATCAGTTGTTCACAGAGCAAGAGGTGAGGATGCATTCCAATAATATTAGTTGTAATTGTTCGCTGTTTGACTTGTTCCAAATTTGACGGCTACCAAAGGTAAATTAGTATAGTGGATTTATACCATGCTTACTAAAAAAAAAAGAAATTGTGAAGACAATTCAATCCTACTTCACGCAGAGGGTAGTGAAGCCTGCTGTCCAAAGTGGTGGTTGATTCAGATATTCTAGATACATTTAAGTGAGAGCTCGATATAGACGTGAGAGAGAATAGAAGGATATGTGAGGCAGTAAGGAGTCATTCATGTGGACTTTAATGTTTTATTGAAATGTTTTATTGTCTTGGTGTTAAGGAGCTACATGGACTCACTAGATGGCTTGACAGGTTTAGCCCATTAGTCATTGAGTCATTCACATGGACAAAACATCGACGTGGCCTGCTGTCACGTGCTGTCCGTTCTCTGTAAATTTATGGAAATCCACAAATTTTTAGTTGAACTGGGAGAACTTGTAATTTTTTGAGCATTGACATTCAAATGTAAGCATATTTTCTGTGTTTTCAATGGACGGATGCCTAGCGTCATTCTTTCTTACTCGCGTTAGCTTCATGTTTGCCTCGGTAATCCTAGTACAGAAGGTAATTCCAGGTAATTTACAAACACGAGCTAGCCTTTGATAGCACCGCCATATATTACCTGGCTTAGAACAAGACAGGAATTGACTTTTATGACATGTGTAGCTCAATTTCACATAGAAGAGCTTTTATTCATTGACTCGTTTGAGAGGTATTTTCATTGGGTTGATAGTTTTGATCGGGACATTGAGTTTAGAGGTGCTGTTTTCATCACATCATACTTTATGGAAAGAATTATCTTGATGTTAAGGAGGTACATGGGCTCACTCGATGGCTTGACAGATTTATCCTGTGAGTAATTAAGTCATTCATACCATGAAGTCTCAGTTCCCAGGTTTGTATCACGGCCCCTCACACGAGGACCTGGATTAAGCAGTTGGGTTTGAGTAAGCATTGGATTTAGACATGTAGTAACAGCTAGGCGGCTGGCACTTCACAAACTGGCTGAGCCAGTTCCAAGGTGATGTGTCTGCCAGAGGAATGTTGGAAGTGAGTCAGTCCTGTGTGGTTGTCTGCTGAGTCTGGTTCCCGAGCCGGGCAGGGCTGCCGTCATGACGTCCTCCAGGGCACTGCTCGTGCAGATCTGCCAGCCTCACCTGTTGGGAGGGCTTAGAGGGGCAGCCTGGTCGCTGGGGGTGGGGATTTTTCTCACTTGGTTTCTGTTCATCTGCATGGCCAACGCGCTGACGGGTAGGATGGTCCCAGCTGGACAAGCACATTCCATTCCAGATAACTTTTACTTCGGACGCAGGGAAATTTCCATGCATATGTTGCCCTTGATTGCTTTGGATACTTTAAGCATGGTAATGGGTTTCTTCTGGGTGCACCGGTTAAATCCAGAAAAAGTACTTTCAATTTCTCTCTCTCTCTCTCTGCATATTAGGATGATGTTGAGATCAAATATCAAGTAGGAATTTTTCAAATTCCCAGTTGCTACAGCGTTGATCTTAACATTGTAGCCTGTGAAGTACTGTACCACTTTCTTCATGCATGTGGTTGATCTACTTCTGTAGAAAAGAGTTCAGATATGTTTTCCAGACATTTCTAGTTATTGCTGAATAGTTAGGTGAGATTTTTTTTCATCTCGCTTTTTTTAGCAGACTTGCAAGAACAATTCTCATTGTACTCAGAATTTCACCCACAAAATCTCACAGGGAGTTCCTGGTACCTACTATCCAAACACCTCTGTTTCCTTACTCCACATGCCTCAGTTTACCAAGCAGTAAGTTGGAACCCGATTGTTGGTCAATTGGTGGATCACTTTCCAGGACTAATAATCCCTTAAAAAAAATAATAATAATAATTTAGTCACTCAATCCATGACCGTTTGTGGGACACTGCTGTGTGCAATTGGCTGCCACTTTCACCCAAAAATATTAGTCAATTCACTTTACAGTATATTCTGTGAAGCACTTTGAGATGTCTCGAATTTTTGCTCGAGTTATTATTCATGTGCGAGTTTTGACACTGAGTATTTGACCCTTTGGACGGTGAGAACATCAACGCCAAGCTCAATCCTCCTGTGGGCTTTCAGCGGGGATCTCTGTAACCCTGGGTAATTTTCCCTTAGCTAACTTGTGGTTTCCGAGTGCAAATTTAATGCCTGAACTGATGCTCCATCTCGGATCAGCTGATTCGAGACAAACCAGAATTCAGACCTGTGGCATTCAAGTTCTGTATAGTCTAGTATTGAAAAATTGTCTTTACCCACGAGATCAATGAAGGAGATAAGAAAACTTTTGTTAACATAGCAATCATTAAAACGTTGTACTTTCAGTGCTGCGTTACATTTTACATAATCCCTTTATATTTTGCAGACACCACTCGGTTCACAGGGTACAGACTCGGATTCTGCAACAACAGGACCAGGAGTTGATGTCAACAATGAAGTCGGTTCTGAGGTACGGTAACACCAACCACATACAGAACTGTAATTGCATTTTTGAGGTTAATTATAAATTTGCAAGTGAACTAGTTAGCTATTCCATACCCTAACTAACACAATTTGTGTGGCTAGCAGACCTGGGCATGCGCTGTTACTAGCACTCAACAGACCAAACTGTCACCATTTAGTCTTCATTACAATCCTTTTTGTTGTGCACTGTGACTGAATGTTGCTTTGCTATTCATCTTTTCTTCTGTGAAACCATTATCGTTCCTTTCTGTTCAACAGAGAAAGATTACTGTGTGAGTCTCACAGTGATGATCAGGCGATGCTGGGATACACTTATTCATCACAGTACTAGTGCCTGATATGTGGGAAAGTGGCTATTTTATTAATATTTTTGCAGTTGCCCCAGTTTATTATTTTATTCATATTTTTACAGTTATCACAGTAGTGAAAATTAAGAAAAATAAGAATTCCTTTGAGGTTGATTCTTGAGAACTGTGGCCAACTGGAGGAAGAGTGAAGAGAGGGAATATAAACTAAATGGTACAGTTTTAAAGGGGAGTGTAGGAACACAGAGTCCTGAGGTTCACATACACAAATATTTGAAGGTGATGGGACAAGTTGATAAAGCTGTTAAAAAAATCATATGGGATCCATGGCTTTATAAATAGGTGGCACAGAGTACAAAAGCACAGTTATGCTAAGCCTTTATAAATCATTGGTCAGGCCTCACCTGGAGTATTGTATCTAATTCTGGACACCACATTTTAGGAAGGATGTCAAGGCCTTGGGAGAGTGTGCAAATGAGATATACCAGAACGGTACCTGGAATGAGGGACCTTAGTTATGTGGAGAGGCTGCGATTGTTCTCTTTAGAGCAGAAAAGGTTAAGGGGAGGTTTAACAGAGGTGTTCAATATTATGAGCTGTTGGATTCTTTGGTTCTAATGTAGGTTGTTTATGAACTGTAGGTCTTTCTCAATTCTACAATAAGCCCAATAAACACACACGTTGGTGTAGTTTTATTCTATTATCAACAAAAAAAGTATTTAGATTTGAAAACCTTTTCAGTGCCTCGTAAATAAGAAAGGAATATCGTCACCGAATGGAATGCGAGTCTAGTTCTGTATATTTTCCGAAATATCTTCTGCATGTAAATATTTGTTGTGGAACGGAGCAACATTGACGTTTTTAAAATAAGTTATAATTCTGAAAGTTCACGTCTTTTCAGGGCTTCATCTGTCCAACGTGTATGCGATCATTCCTAACTCCCACTGAGCTGTATGAACATCACCAGAATGAGCACTCTCTGGCAGACGATAGGATACAGGAAGATCTAAATCCAGAAACGACTGTTAGCGTGGGTTACTTTTTTGTGTTCTGTCTGGGTGGGTGATGGTCTGTGCAATGGTGGAGGTTTTTTTTTTGATCTGGTGTTTCTGTTCACATCTTTTCTGGTTTGCTGCTGCATTAGTGATAGATGGTTTATGTTGCCTGATTGCATGATTTGCCAGCATGGTGGCATAATCTCTCGGTTTCACCACTAGATATTGCATCCCGTTTAACTAGAAATATTGACAGGGCATGTCTTTTGGTAGGAAGTGCAATACAGTGTTGTCTGCCATGATACAAATGCTAATTTTTGGCTATTGCATTTGATATAGTGTTGAAGCTTCATAGAGTTTTTTTAGATGATGTGTAGTGACTATGCGGCCAACACGACAACCAATTTGTGCATAACAATGACCCTAATTTCAGTTTTAAAATTAAATGTTTTGTTCGTCATTCAAATGATAACTTCAACATTGAAGTGCTGCTCCAATGCACCAAAAGGAAAAATTATTTGTCATACTCACTTCTTCATTGGCCAGTCTAAAACTGGAAGAGACATTGGAAATATGTCTGCAGATTTGTAACACAGCAGTTTTCAATGGTAGAACTGGGATCAATCCAGAATTTTGGCCATCCTTCTATTGGGCTGAGCTGTTGATTCTCAAAGATAAAGATTCCACTGTTTTTAGTTGAAGCTACAATGGGACCATTATCTCTTCACTCGGAAAAAATGATGGATCTTAAAGTAGGAGCGAGGCAGGCAGATAAAATAGAAAACATTCTAAGAAAACTCTGCTTAAATGGAAAGCCTGTAATTTTGTTTGTGTGTGTGTGCGCGCGTGTTTTCTCTTTCACTTTCCTGTGTGCTCGCCCTTCTGTGAAGAGCGCCACATAAATGCAGTTTGCATTGATTATCTATGGCTTTGACGGGATTGAGTTTGAAGTGTTAAATTTGTCACAGATTTTTTTTCTTTTGGAGAACTTTTGAGAAGGATTTAAACACAATTGGCTTGAGCATTGTGCAATGTATTTTAAATACTGGAACAAAAGGCAACTGTCAGCACAATTCATATTGTCTTTGTTGCCTACATGTGATTAAAGAAAAATGCACGATTCTGTAAAGCAGGAATATCACCTCGTGACTCTTCTATTTATTATGTGGGCGTCTGTTCAAGGGAGATTTATTTTGAGGCCTGTGATGGAAGCTGAATTTACGACCTCAATTTAAAAATGGCACCTGTTGATATTTAGACAGCAATGCGAATGACATTTTAGTTTACTTTTTATTTTATGCCCCTCTCTATTTGTCGCATACCAAGCATGAAGGTATTCAGTGTCCTCCCGAATGTGCTGTTCTCTGCAATAAGTAAGACTCGAGTTAACTTGTCTAGCTTTCTTTCCTGTACCTGGTCTGAGGTTGCAAACTTGTTGCCTCAGGTTTCTCGTGTCGTGATAAGGAGAGAAGTCCCATTTTTTTCATGCCCATTGAAAACTGCGTTCAGTTCAGTAGCTTATTGGACTTTTTAGAACCATATGGAAGCTGCTAGACATGTATTCTGTAAAGTTATGCTGTGCTTTGTACAAATTAGTCTTTTCTGAACCTCGACTGATAGCGTCACAAGCTGATTAACTTATTTTGATGCTAAATTAACAATAAGATAGCAGATGGCTGTGGCAGAAAGACATTGGCAATGGCTCCCTTGAACTATGACATTGACGGGAGGAATGCCAGTCTTGTGCTTATTGTCTGTTTGCTGCAGTCCTGTGGACGGACATAGAGTTTACAGGAACAGTCCGTGTGGATTTCCTGGAAATCTACACCAAACTGGGGGTGTGTGAGTCTGTACAATACACAATTACATTTGTACAGGAACAGTCAGTGTAGCATCTTGCTCCTTGTTGAGAAGAACCTTATGGCAAGAAAGTTGGCCATTTTAGTGCAAAAACCCAGTCATGGATACTCAGTGTACTGGGCCCACAGTGAAACTGAGTTATAAGTGAACGTTCCTATAACAGAGCGTGTTATAGTAGGGCTGCACTTATTGCCTTATAATGGGGTACTATTGTATACTGCTAGTTGGACAACTAATAGTAATAATAATCCTTGCATTTGATATAGCGCTTTTCACGTCGGGAGGACGTCCCAAAGCGCTTCACAGAACACACTGTAAAGTGAATTGACTGTATATTTGTGGGCGAACGCGGCAGCCAATTGCGCACAGCAATGTCCCACAAACAGTCGTAGATTGAAAATGACCAATTTATTATTGCTTTGTTTTGGAGGGATTATTATTAGGCTCTGTGTGGAGTAAGGAAACTTGCCCAAGGTTTGGCCCTCTGCCTGGAATTGAACCCAGGTCTCTCACTTGCAAAGTGAGTGCTCTAACCGCTGAGCTACAGGACTCCTTTACTGTCACTAAACTGGGGAGGTGAGAGTCTGTACAATACAAAATTACATTTGTAAAGCGCCTTTCACATCGGGAGGACGTCCAAAGACACTGAACAGTCGGGGATTAGGATCCAAGTGGGAGGGGAATGGTTGGGAGTAGGAGGGTGGCTGAAGACATAGTTGAAGAGGAGGGTCTTGGGGCGTGCCTTGAAAGAGGCACGGGAGGGGGGAAAGGGATGTGGGATAGAGTTCAGAACTTGGGGGCAAAGAGGCTGAAGGCGCCCAAGTTTTTTTTCTTGAGGGATTATTATCAAGTTTGTGGAGTAAGTAAACTTGCCCAAGGTTTCGCCCTGCTGGGAATTGAACCCAAGTCTCTCACTTGCAGGGCGAGTGCTCTAACCACTGAGCTACAGGACTCCATGATGCCAGTGAATGGCAGCTTAGTGCAGTCTAAGTGATCTTCACATCATCTAACTAAAGACAAGTTGCATCCTTTTAGGGAATTAAGGGATTGAATCAATATTGAGGGATTAACTTGAGTTTCGCTCAAGTTACGCTATAAATGTAATTTTGTTGTTGTTGTTGTTGTTGAGTTGGAGAACAAACCAGCTGGTCTTGCTGTTTAAAATGCTGGCTCTGTTACACTGCAATACACCGGCCATTGCACCGTTTCCTCACTAAAGGTAGTACAAGCTTTGTGCTGTTGTTTCCAACCTGTGTCCTCTGCTCCACCAGAGGCGGCCAGGCCTTCAGCCACTACGCCCTGAAACTCTGGAACTCTCTCCCTCAGTTCCTCCGCCTCGCCCCCTCCCTCCCCACTTTCAAATCCCGCCTAAAAACCTTCCTTTTTGATCATACTGATGGTCACCTCTCCCCCTGGCTCAGTGTCAGACTCCACCACTGTCAAGCACTCCGGGACCCTACCCCGTGTGAAGGGCGCTTTATAAATGCAAATTGTTGTTGGTGTGGTTGTTTCTATGACCTTAGTTAGTGCTTATAGAGTTGAATGAAGCCTTGCAAAAATCTCTTTACAATGACCTGTTTTTGCTTTGGTAACTTTCTGCTTTAAGAACATTGCATTTTTTTTTGCTATTTGCAGAAATACAGCTTTTTTGTAATGCAAACTATTTTTTTACTAGTACATATGCCTTCTCTCACAGGGTTTTATCTGCCCTTTGTGTATGAAGTCCCATGCTTCAGCAGAGGAGCTCTTCAAACACTATGAAGCATGTCATGAGTCTGTGAATGAATCTGGCCACAGAGAAGAGGCTAACCAATCTCTAAGAAGGTATGTTCAGTTTGGTGGTAATTCAGCATCAAATGAAATCTAATTGCGCACAGCAGTGACCCACAAACAGTCATGGATTGAGTGACCAAGTTATTATTTAAAAAATGTTTTTTGAAGGGATTATTACCCCCGGAAAGCGATCCATCAATCGACTAACAACTGGGGTCCTAGGTAAACAAAGGCGTGTGGAGTAAGGAAACTTGCCTTAGGAAGAATACTGATAGACAATTTGTTTTCTTATTTATTCAGAGATGACGTCACACTCCTTCGACAAGAAATACAAGATCTCCAAACGACGCTAAAGGTTGGAACTTGCAGAACTTGACAGGTTCACTGTGTTGCTTGTTGCTAAGTGGATCCCAAACTGAAGGATTGACACATTGGTCCATTTTATCAACAGGAGGAACGATGGTACTCGGAAGAGTTGAAGAAAGAACTAGATAAAGTACAAGGGCAGCTGAAGCAAGTAATTCCTTTCAAATACCTAAACACACCGAGGGTTTGAAATAATGAACTATTCAGATCTGGAAAAGGGGCACTGGACATGAAACCATTTTGACTTGTTTTTCTCCCTTGATATTTGTACTGTTGGGCAGAATGTGGGAAGGAGGTCCTCCTGATGTGAAAGGCGCTATAACAAATGTAATTTGTTGTTTTTAAAAATAATACTGGTATGGCCATTTACTTTCAGACTTAAAAGCTCAGTGAGCTGCTGAAGAAATGAGGGCCTTGATGACTGCTGATGAACAGCATCTGGAGGAAAACTGTGTGTCTTGTATGGCTTCCCTGAAATTATGCCATTGCTTTGGAGAGGGTGTGGTGGGAGGGTGTGTACTTAAGCACATTTATTGAGTAAATGTATTCTAACTATCGTGAATACATGCATAGTCAAATTGATGTGACATTACTTCCCTGGAGTGGGAGCACTGCTTAGAGGATTTGGATGAGTTCCTTAAAGTTGCTGTGTTGTGAGTTTGTGTTGGTCAATCTATATTAACAAATTTAGAATGTATAATAATTGGTGGAACGCTGTTTCTATTTTACTTGATATCCAGAACTGTAAACTGTTTCAAGTTTTATGTTGCTGATGCTTGTTTTACCTGAAGCACCTGTTATGTTGAGGTGCTGCGTGATAAATACTGGGTTTGCATCATTTGTTGCAGGGTTCTCAGTCTGACGGTTTGACATCTGCTGTCTCTTCAGGTAACAAAACAAATTAAACTATTTCACGCAGCTGATATGATTAATACGTTGTAAAGCTACCTGGAAGCCTGTACATGTTTTCTTGTTTCCTATTTACGATGCCATAAAATTATCCTGAAATATATATTTCTGATTGTAAATTTGTTAAAAAATAAATGATTGATTACTTTGGGACTGAGACTTTTCCCTTCTCCGTAGAGATCGCCGAGGTAAAGCAGCAATTGGAAGAGGCTCAGACAGAGAACATGAAACTAAAACAGATGAAGGATTTACTGGAGCAGAAAGCAGGCACGTTGGCCACTGAACTAGTTGGTAAGTGTGAAAACCACTGCTGGAAGATGAGCACAGCAATAATAATCCTTGCATTTGATGTAAGCGCCTTATCACACCGTCGAGACATCTCAAAGCGCTTCAGAATATACTGTAAAGAGGAGTGGACTGAATTTTGTGGGGGAAACACTGCAGCCAATTGCACACAGCAGTTTCCCACAAACAGTCTATAAATTCTGTGAGCCAAAAACCTACCTCTCGTGTAGACAATTGCAAATTTTTATCTATTCTATTTATTAAAAATTCACTTTTATTCATTTTAATTGTTAGGGAGGATTTATTTTACTACTTTTAAAATGCTAGGGATTTATACTATATATAATATACGATGGAGACATGTTTAAAAATTTATTTTCTCAAAAACAATGGACTCTTAGGAGGTTGTATTGTTTACTATTGACCAGATGTTAAGGTAAAGTTTGATGATGAAAGAAGCCACAGAGACGTGGCAGAGCAGAAGCTGAGAAGTGTATCAGAGGAGCTGTCAAGGGAACGATCCTCAGCCCAGGAGCTCCACACTGAACTGGTAACCAAGCCTTTCATTATATATCCATGTGCTTTCCTGCCCAATGACACAGGGTGCAGTTGTACTAGCCTTATGCCTGCAAGATTTTCAGTTTGGTGTGAGCTGACAACACTATGATATCTTAACTATGGTGATGTGCTTGGCAACAGAATGTTGGAATCGAGCCACCCTCTGTGGCGGTCTCTGGTCCGGTTCCTGAGTCAGGCGTGTCCGCAGTATTCCAGGGCACTGCCTTTGGGATGTCTCACTTTCAAGTCTCAGATGCGGGGGGAAGCAAAACTCTACATTTGCAATCTTAAACATGCACGCAGCTCTGCTGGAATGCTAGTGAAGTGTTTAATGTTAGTAACAATTACTTCATTGTTTGCTGAATTACAATATTGAAGGGAGGTTTTTTGGGGACCTTCAGGTTGCGTGAACTTGAATTGTCTCCTGGAGAAGAAATAGTGGTTTCAGGCTTTTTGTGTTATTGGGAAGGGCAGAATGGAAATTAAAAAAAAAACAATTGAAGGGAAATGCATATTTCAAACCACAAATTACCTTTAATGTAGCATTTCTCACGTCAGGTTATCCCTAAGCGCTGGATAAACACTTGTTTGTATTGTAGCTTCAGCGACCTGGAGTGGAAGATGTTACTGTCCTCAAAAAGGAACTGGTGCAGGTTCAAACTCTGATGGACCAGATGACTCTCGAACAGGAGAAAGAGTCTAATAAACTGAAGGAGGAAAACGAGCAGCTGAAGGCAGAGTTTATTAAAACTGAGGTAAAACCTCCTAAAATGAGTATTTTCCAGGCTTTTCTTTAAATGATACCCAGGAAATTGTGGGCCTAAAAAAGCGCCAAGGTGACTCTAGTGGATAACATAATATAGCAAACCTGGTAATAATCCCTCAAGAAAATAAACAACCATAATTTGGTCGCTCAATCCACGACTGTTTGTGGGATGCTGCTGTGCGCAATTGGCTGCCGCGTTTCGCCCACAAAATATACAGTCAAGTCACTTTACAGTGTATCCTTTGAAAGCGCTTTGAGACGTCTGGAAGACGTGAAAAGCGCGATATCAAATACAAGGATTATTATAAATGTGATGTTTCCTTCACTAGGTTAAATCAAGCTTGATGTACTGAAACATTTTGTTAAAATACTATAGTAACTTTTGATTAATTGACATTGTGATTGGATGACATTGACATAAACTTCTGAAAGATGCAATGATCATTATTTGTCACCATTATGTGTAGTGTGTCCTTTTGGTATTGTGTGTAACTAATTCTGATCTAATGTCATTCCGCCATTCCATTATTGATGTGTCTTCCATACATGTTTGACTGAAGCATTCTTAGTTATTGCTTGCCAACTTTCATGATTCATGGTTGAATGTTTTTTCATGGAAAATTGGAGGGTTAAGTTCTGACCACAAGTTGAAGTCAGATTTAATTGAATTTCTCGTCATTTCTCATGCTGCTGTCGCTCATTTTCTGGCACNTTTTTTTCTAATTGCTTTCCTGTGGAGAAACTTAAACTTGAGGTAAAATTTTATCCCTCTCTTCACCCCCTCTTAAAATAAATAAATAAATAAATAAAACTGGGGAAAATATATCTTAACTGTTTGGTCAGCTTTTTTTTCTCGAATTCCTGTGTACAACCATTGTAACTCACTGCTTAGGTTTTGATGTCACATTTATTTAGGAAAGAAACTGCATCTTTTAGTATTAAGCAATCATTTGATGGAGCTCATAATTGCAGGAATTTATGCTTACAATGATCCTACAATAACACAAGGCCCACTTACTTACATCAGTAACTTCATAAGCGAAATTGCTTCTTTATGTCCTGCTGTGCCATGCAGCTGTTGTGATTTCCTCTTGATGTGTTTGTCGGCTAATATCAGTTTAGTAGCCAAAGGTTACTCATGTGGAAAGTCTGACATAGCATCATAAAGAACTGATAAATTGAATCTGTGTCTGAAATGTTTGTCTGCTCTATGTATATCTGAGACAGATCACGAGTAACAAATATCTGGACTTATCTACTGCATTCTACACAATTATTAGTAACGCTTTTTTCTATTCCTTTCGCCCACAGAATATACAGTCGATTCACTTTACAGTATATTCTGTGAAGCGCTTTTAGACGTCTTGAAGATGTAATAAGGCGCTATATCAAATGCAAAGATTATTATTACTTGTTTTTATGGTGAATTAGCCTGTGCCTGATTGAAAAATAACTTAACTATTTTAAATAGCAATAGTGTGTGTGTGTGTGTCTTATATATATTTATGTATTTTCGGTTTCCATCAATTATTTTCAGGCCACTATCACTCAACTGAAGGCACAGGTCGCTAAAGCTCCTGAAGAAGCCTCTATCCATTTGGAGGAAATGCAGAAGGTGCGGAGTATGTGTGACGAATTACAGCAGCAAGTCCAGGTAGGTCAGGGATGCTGGCTCCAGTCAAAAGCTGCATTCAGGTCATTCATCTACAGTCACCTGTACATGCAACTTTGACAGCTTGTCAATTCTGAAAACCATTGCAATCACACAGATTACCTGGTTTGTTTTGTTTCATTTCCTTAACCTACGTCACTTTGTAATGATACTAAGTGCTTATAAAAAATATTATTATTTCAGCGCTCTGACACTCGTAAATCCGGATATGTCATTGTGATTGCACTTTTTTCTTTTAAAAAAAAATCCCTCTTAATTTCAGAACCTGTCAGCAACATTGTTGAAGAAAGAGGTTGAGTGCCAACAATTGCAAGACCGCCTGACTGAGGAATCGTTAAGTAAAAAGAGCGTCCAGACTAGCCTGCATGAGAAGGAGCTGGATCGGCAGCAGGTTCAGGCGAAACTCTCGGCTGCTGAAGGCTCTTTGCAGAGAGTACAGAACGAGTTAAACGAGCGCGGGGACATGGGCCACAAACTGAAGGTTGAACTGTCAGAGGTGGAGACCAAACACCAGCAGCTTCGTGCTGAGTTCAAGCAGGTGCAGCAGCAGAGAGAAGAGAAGGAGCAACAGAACCTTCAGCTGCAGAATGAAGCCAATCAGGTTAGATAGGGTTACCTTAAGATGTCAGCAGTTATTGGGGTGTACCTTCAAGAACATAAGGGTTTGTTAGACGAAAGAAGACTTGTATTAAGAAAATATATTCTGTGAAGTTTTGAAACGTCTCGAAGACATGATAAGGCGCTATATCAAATGCAAGGATTATTATTAGCAGTAGTATTAGCTACAAACATACATACTTTTGATATAACTGATATTGTGTCACCCTTACATTAACTGACCTCAGGCTTAGGCTCTTTGGAGCCACGTTGATGGCTATTCCTTGAATTTTTTTTACTTGTATGAACTGTTACTGGTGAATTGTTTGCCCTGTAAGCAATATAACATCAGACAAATAATGTTAAAAGGTTATTTCTTCAGAAAGTTATTGTGTGACACGGTAAACGGGGTCAACAATAATTTGTTTGAGTAACTGCTCACTGACCTAATTGCACATTCAGGAAAAACCCAGCTGATTATGTTGCTTGATTCGCAGCTGCACGCTAAGCTCCTGGAGACCGAGAGGCAGCTCGGAGAGGTTCAGGGCAGATTGAAAGAGCAGAGGCAGCTCTCTGGAGAGAAGCTGAAGGACAAGGAGCAACTGGTAGCTGACCTACAACTCAAACTGTCACGCACAGAGGAGCAGGTAATCATTTAGCAAAAGCCTTGTGACTTGTTCAATCCCGTTATACTCTATCCTTGATTTGCCTTTAGCCAAAATTGAGCACAGTAGGAATAAAACTATTGTTGTCAAACTGTAACCCACACAAAGTTCCTGTGCACCAAACAACTTTCTGGTCACTTCCGTACCTTGTAATAAATAGGAACCTGGCTGTTGTTCGATTGGGGATCGATTGCTTTTCCGGGGTTAATAATCCCTTCAAAATAATTAAGTAAATTATAATTTGGTCATTCAATCACGACTGTTTGTGGGACGCTGCTGTGCGTAATTGTGGAGTCCTGTAGCTCAGTGGTTAGAGCACTCGCTTTGCAAGCGAGAGATCTGAGTTCAATTCCAGGCAGAGGGCGAAACCTTGGGCAAGTTTCCTTACTCCACACAGAGCCTAATAATAATCCCTCCAAAAAAAAAACAATAATAAATTGGTCATTTTCAGTCCATGACTGTTTGTGGGACATTGCTGTGCGCAATTGGCTGCCGCGTTCGCCCACAAATATACAGTCAATTCACTTTACAGTATATTCTGTGAAGCGCTTTGGGACATCTAGAAGATGTGAAAAGCACTATATCAAATGCAAGGATTATTATTATTATTATTAATTGGCTGTTGCTTTTCACCCACAAAATATAGTCAATTCACTATACAGCATATTCTATGAAGCGGTTTGAGACGTCTCGAAGACGGGATGAAGCACTATATCAAATACACGGATTATTATATCATGTATATATGGTTATTTCAGATAAAGGAAAATGTAGCTGCTGCAACTGAAGTCCAGCATCAGTTGGAGAAACAAAAGCAGCAACATCAGGAGCTGCAGACTACTCAGCAGACATCTACATCTCAGCTGCGGGAGGCACAGGTGAACCAACTAGTGTTTTTTTCCCCCATGCTGTGAGTACACAGCATTCAGGAAACCCCATAAAACACCCAAATAATTGAAAATAGTGAGTTGGTCTGTGGCATGTAAGGACATAAGAGCAAGGGGGAAAAGATGAAACATTGGAGGAAAAAAAATCTCAACAGAATATGCCATTCATCTTCTGGTGCAGATTAGTGCATTGCAGAGTAATTGGCAACTGCAATCTATTGCTGGCTTTTAGCATGCTGTAGTTAGCATGTTAGCAGTGGAATTTTTTATAAATATATATAAATATGTCTTCCAGACACCTGCTCAATGAAAACCTTTTGTTGTGCTGCTCTAAATAGGAAAGAAAGCACGTCTGAGTGGCACGGGGCCAGGGGTTTACTGCTGGCAGCTGCAGGGCTTCAATTTGATTGCTATTTTAGTGAGCTTTTGTAGAGTCCTGCAGTGCAGTGGTTAGAACGCTTGCAAATCAAGAGGACCTGGGTTTGATTCCTGGGTAGGGCGAAACCTTAGCAAGTTTCCTTACTCCACACGCCTCTGTTCACCTAGGGGTTAGGGCTTTGCAGGGGTAAAAATTCCTTCAAAATAATAATTTAGCCACTCAACCCATGACTGTTTGTGGGACGCTGCTGTGTGCAATTGGCTGCCGTGTTTCACCCACAAAATACACAGTCAATTCACTTTACAGTATATTCTGTGAAGCGCCTTGAAGACATGATAAGGTGCTATAATCAAATGCAAGTATTATTAATGTGAAAGATGCTGTATGAAAGGATTTGTTAAGTTTCAGAAAAACTAATCTTGTATATATCGGAAGCCTTTTATAACATGAGTGATTTCAATACAAAATTTCCAGAGGAGAAATGTTTCAGTAATTCCATATCAACACTTTGTACAATATATTACATAGCAAGTGGGTAATGATTAGCAGGTAGATTCTAATCGATGGTGTTAGGCGTCATTAATTGTGAGTGCAAAGTTTGTGAATAGTAGTGAAAGTCCCTTTTGCCTTTTTATGTTAATTACAGCCTTGAACTACATCAGGTTTTCAATCAATGCTGGAAGTTTTCCATATCAGTAAGGTGGTTGACCTCGGTGTTCTTCTATTGTCCTCTGTCTGTCATTGATTTCTCCCACAAAATACACAACACTTTACAGTATATTCTGTGAGATGTCTCAAGGGTGTGATAACGCACTATATCAAATGCAAGGATTCTTATTATCGATTGTCCACAATTTATTTTTGGGATGGGATATTCTGGCTCTCTAATTGGAGGAAAATACCTCTGATCACAGTCTGTGGTGAAAGGAGTTTCACAGAAGGTGCTTGTATTTTCCTTTTTTGAGGTGATGCTGTATTTTTTTGTTGTACGCTCACACCGTGTCACAATCATTGTTTCAGAACGACTTGGAGCAAGTGCTGCGGCAGATTGGAGACAAGGACCAGAAGATCCAGAACCTTGAGGCCCTCCTCCAGAAGAGTAAAGACAGTATAGTCCACCTCGAGACGGAGAGAGAGGAGCTCTTTGCTAAAATCCAGGCTGGCGAGGGCGAGACCGCAGTGCTTTCTCAGCTACAGGAAAAAAACCATGGGCTGCACGATCAAGTAAAGCTACTCCCACTTAGTCCTTCTCTCTCACCGCCCTCCTCGCCTTCTCTCCATCCTGGACCCTCCCTCTGCCCCAGCCTGGGCATCCTCCGCCAGGCTCACCGTGGGACTTGGCGATGGTTGTCACAGAGTGGTCACCCCGACTGCCGTGCCCTCCACTTTCTCTGCAAGACATCCCCGTCTATTATTATTAAGGCCCTGAAACTGGAACACTCTTCCTCTGTCCCACCACCTTGCCCCCTCCTTCCCATCTTCAGATCGCGCCTAAGACCGTCCTCTTCGACCATGCCCGCAGTCACCTCTCCTCTCCCACCCCCCCGGCTCAGCCTTGTGCTCCGCCACTGTCAAGCGCTCTGGGACGCTGCCCTGCATGAGGGGTGCTGTGTAACTGCAAGTTGTTGACTGTATAGCGTTATAGTGTAGGTTGTAATCCTTCGGCTGTGACTGCTAGGTTGCCCAGTTGACTGAGAAGCTGAAGAATCAGAATGAAAGCCATAACCAAGCGCAGGAGAACCTACACAAACAGGTGCAGGAGCAGAAAGCCCTGCTGCGAGCCTCGCAAGATAACTGCCGCTCCCTCGAGTCCAGCATCAGCGATCTCAATATTCAGCTGAGCGAAACCAAGGAGAAAATGGTGCAACTTGATACCCAGGTACATCAGCAACCCTTTGTAGAGATGTCATTTGTTCCATTTATCTCAGTCCAGTGTTTGGTTTTGTATTTTGTCCATCACTCTTGCTGCTTTGGGGAAAATAATAATAATCCTTGCATTTGATATAACACCTTACCATGTCGTTGAGACGTTTCAAAACGCTTCACAGTATATACTGTAAAGCGAATTGATTATATTTTGTGGGCAAAACGTGGCAGCCAATTGCGCACAGCAGTGTCACACAAACAGTTGTGGGTTGAGTGACCAAAGAAGGAATCCGGTTGTTAGTTGATTGGTGGATTGCTTTTCTGGGTTAATAATCCCTTCAAATAATAATAATTTGGTCACTCAATCCACAACTGTGGGACATTGTTGTGCGCGATTGGCTGCCATGTTTCGCCCACAAATATACAGCCTTTACACATAAAAGTATATTCTGTGAAGCCCTTTGAGACGTCTAGAAGATGTGATGGGTGCAATATCAAATGCAAGTATTATTATATCTATCTTGTAAACTGCTTTTATAAAAATGTCAAAATTTTAAATGAATGTTGTCATTTATGTTCAATGCAGATCTCGTTGACTGGTAACACGGAAGATGTCATAAATACTTGCAGGTGTTGGATTTACTGATTCCCATTGATTATACCCTTGTGTTCTGCTTATTAATATTTCAGGTTAAAGCCAAAACTGAGCTGCATTTGTCCGCAGAAGCAGCCAAAAGTGCTCAAAGAGCAGACCTGGAAAATCATTTGGAAACTGCCAAACACGCACTACAGGATAAAGAACAGGTACGATAGATTAACAGGGCCAATGGTTGGTGTGAACAAGGTCAAACAGTTTTCATTCTAATATGGGTCATCATCATCATAATAATAATTCTGTTTCTCTTGTATAGACAAATTAAATGGAAATGAATATGTAGTGTAATTGACGTTGTTGAATGATACTAAAGTCCTCATTGTCTTTCCTCAGGAACTCAACAAAACACAGGCTCAGCTTGACGAGGCTGCTTCAAAGCTGAACGAGAAAGCAGAGTGTTGTATCCAACTCGAAACTAATCTGAAGGAATATAAAGAGAAACAACTGATTTCTGAACAGAAGATAGAACAGTTTGAAACCCAGATTAAGGTTGGTTGAGTGCACAAGGATGCTTGTTTCTGGGAAAATAATTGCTCTGAAATAATGGAAATGTTTCACTTCAGTTATATCTATTTTCCAAGACGTGTGTGCGTGTGTGTGTGTAAATGAAACAGGGTTGTCACAGAATATTGAAACAGCATTTTCTGTGCTATTCTTTGGCCCTGTTCCATTTAACTCTTGACTAGTTGTTCAGGGCCAGAAAATGCAGTCTGGTGACTAATCCTGCCACATTATTCTGTGGAGCTTATGCCCATCAATAATATTGCAGCAGAAACCTGAACCAGCATAATAATAATAATACTGAACTGATAATAATCCCTCATTAAAAAAAACAACAATAAATTGGTCAGTTCAATTCACGGCTGTTTGTGGGACATTGCTGTGCGCAATTGGCTGCCGCATTTCGCCCACAAATATGCAGTCAATTCACTTTACAGTCTATTCTGTGAAGCACTTTGAGACGTCGAGAAGACGAGAAAAGCGCTATATTAAATTCAAGGATTATTATTACCATGGTTTTAATTAGCACTTTGATATGTACTTCAGCAAAAACATTTTTACCAAGCCTATTAAGTTAAAAAGAAGATGCTATGCAATAATAATAAACTTATTTTGTTAGAAACTGGAATCTGATGTTACGGAGATGAAGGGAAGCAAGGAATTGGCTGTAAAAGACTTTCAGCAGCTGAGAAAGCAGCACAGCGATCTGGAGATCCAAACTAATGAACTGCACAAACAGCTCGATGCTGAAAAGGAAAGGTAAGCAGTGAAATTGCTGCATAAATTAGTTTAATTGATTTGTATGCAAAGTTTGCTATTTGCTTGCCATTTCGACAATTCCCCCAAATAAACTTGGTCACTCACTCCATGGCTGTGCGCAACTGGCTGCCGCGTTTGCCTACAAATACACAGTCACTCCATTTCACAATAAATCCTGTGAAGTGCTTTGAGACGTCCTTCTGATGTGATAAAGCATTATATGAAATGCAATGCCGATTATTGTTATTTGCTGCTTTTTTTCCCCTTGCCCACATCTGAAGTGTCATGTGTAATAAAACTGACATGTGTTTGTATACTCTTATTGGTGAAATGCCAATACAGATTTTATTTATTTTATTGAAAAAGTTATTTAATATTTTGAAACTTCTTCCAGCGTGTGCAGTACAAAACTGGACCTGCAGAAGAAGTCTGAAGTCCTGGATGAAATGAGAAAGCAGGTTACGGACCATGAGAGAGAAACTACTGCCTTTAAACAAGATCTTGAGACACACAAGGAAGAAGTCAAGAGACTGCAGGCTTCATCGGTGGAACTTCAGGCATTGAAATTAGAAAGAGAGACTTTATCAAAGAGTTCGAGGACACTAATGGCCACTTAGCCAATGTCACCGCATCCCTCAAGGAAGCACAAACTCAGCTGGTAAAAGATCACCAACTGTGGGAAGCTACTCTGGGTGAAAAGGTTGGTTTATGTTACCATCATAAGTTTTCTGCAAGGCGAGGGATCAAAACGTTAACCGAGTAGGGAATGAAGAGTCTGGTTTAACTGCTGTAAAGTTTCACCTCTGGTGTAAAAAGTGCATCTTTTGCAATAATTTACGAGTCCTAAAGCGTATTGGTTAGAGCACTCGCCTCGCAAGCGAGAGCACCTGGGTTTGATTCCCGGGTAGGGTGAAACCTTAGGCAAGTTTCCTTGTTCCTCTGTTTACCCAGCAGTAAGTAGGAACCCAGTTGTTAGTCGATTGGTGGATTGCTTTCTGGGGTAATAATCCCTTTTTTTTAAAAAAGTATATTTTGGTCACTCAACCCACGACTGTCTGTGGGACGCTGCTGTGTGCAAATGGCTGCCGAGTTTGCCCACAAAATATACAGTCAATTCACTTAAATAGTAAATTCTATGAAGTGCTTTGAGACGTCTCAAAGACATGATAAGGCGGTATATCAAATGCAAGGATTATTATATTTAAGGGTAATTTTTTATATTTTGAAAAATTTAAGCAAAACTGTGGTTGCCAAGCATTGAACTTTTTAAAAATACTTTTTGTACTAATATGTAACTAATTTGCTGGTGAGATAAAGTTTATTGGTTTGAACTCTGAATAATATTCTGATTCTATCAATTAACAACTTTATGGGAAGGTGCTCCTGGTATCTCAAAGCTGATTGTAAAGGCAAACTATGAACTGTAATGTCCTTGGACTGTCTTCTTTAGAAATATTTTTTTTATTCAGGACAAATTTCATCAAGAAGTTAAACAAGATTTGGAGAAAAAAGTTGAGAATGCAACAAACGAAGTCAACGAGCTTAAGAGTTCAGTACAGAAGAGAGAGGAGGTAAGGACAGGAGTTTATAAAAAGAATTGTGCATTTTATGAGTGAATTGGTGTCCTCAGAATATAACTTGCTCTTAGTTTCACCCAATAAGTTGACGTCTGGGAATTTAACTTCAAGTGAGTGAGGATGGCTCTTTGCTTTCAAAACCCATATAAAATGTCTCTTTGTCTGCACCTTCTGCCACATATACTGGATCAGTTGCTAGAACTCTTGCCTTTTGAGATAGAAAAGTTCAAGCTCCACATGGGACATTGAGCTCACAGTCTTGGCTAACACTCTAAATGCAGTCCTGGATATCTGCTGCATTGTTGGAGGTGTAGTCTTTCGAATAAGCAGTTAATCTGAGGTCCTGTCTGCCTGTTCAGGTGGATGTTAAAGTTCCCATGGCACTATTGGAAAAAGAGGAGGAAGTTTCTCTCTCCTGGTGTCTGCCAACAATAAATATTTTTTAAATTGTTCATTTACTTCATGGCTGTTTGTGGGCATTGCTGAGTGCAAATTAGCTGCATCATTCACCTACCAATAGTTTCCTTCCTCCACACGCCTCGGTTTACCTAGTAGTACATTTCGCCCACAAATATACCATCAATTCACTTTACAATCTATTCTGTGAAGTACTTTAAGACGTCTAGAAGATGTGAAAAGCACTATATCAAATGCAAGGATTATTATTAGTAAGTAGGAACCCTTGTTAGTCGATTGACTGATCACTTTCTGGAGGTAATAAACCCTCAAAAAAAAACACCCACAAAATACAGTCACTACACTTTACAGTATATTCTGTGAAGTGCTTTGAGATGCCGCAATGATGTGGTAAGGTGCTATACCCAAGGCAAAGATTATATTAAAAAATGATTTGCATCTAAGAATTCTGAAAGAATATTGTTGGAAAAGAAGAAACCAGCAGTTTTGTACATTGTAAACAAAGAAATGTTGGTTGGTTTGTTTGTTGCAGACTGAAAGGCAGCTGAGAGTTAACATTGAGGCACTGTCAGCGCAAAGCTCCGAGCTGCAAAGCAGTTTGAAAGCAAAAGAAAAGGTAGAAGAGCATCTTCAAACAAAGCTGAAGGAATTGCTTGAGTCTTCTGATCAGGCAAGGAAGCAATACCAAGCCCAATTGGAAGAGTTAACAAATGAACATTCTCAAAAGGTATGAATGGACGAGATTTTTCCATAAAATCAGTTATTATGTTTGACATTAATTTCTCTAAAGCACATTACTTTTTTTTCTCTTTCATCATGTCTTTGAGATGTCTCAAAGTGCTTCATGGAATATACTGTAAAGTGAATTGACTGTATATTTTGTGGGCAAAACCATGTCTAAACTTGAGGGTAATACGCAAAATCAAAACATCTTAACATCCATCACAACATATAACTGAAATGAAGACCAGTAGTTTTACGCCTTATTTAGCCTTTTTTCCCTCCAGAACAGAAACCGATGTTGAATTGGTTGATACCTGCAAATCTGTTTCATACAGATTTAATCCTGGAGATGACACGTGTGGAGTTAAACTCTATATGGTGTCTTCATTTTCCAGTATTGAATTAGCATTATTGCTAGAAGCACTAGTGTACTTTGACTTTTACTTTCATAGGTAAATGTTTGCTATTTCAATGTTTTCATAACAAATGAGTCTTTATTTGAACAGTTCATATTCCTTGCATTTGATATACTGCCTTATCATGTCATTGAGATGTCTCAAAGCCCTATATCCAAAGCAAGATATACTGTAATCAGGATTGATTTGTGCATTTTGTGGGTGAAATGCAGCAGCTAGTTGCACACAACAGTGTCCCACAAATAGCCAATGACCAATTTTATTTAGGGATTGATGTTTAGGACACCGACCGAAACTCGCACCATTTTTGAACAGTGCCATGGGATCTTTAACATCCACCTGAACTGGCACAAAGGACCTTGATTTAACATCCCATCTGAAGGATGGCACCTTCGACAATGCAACCCCCATCCCCCCGCGTTGCATTCAAGTGTCAATTTAGACTGATTTGAAGTCCCGATGTGGGGCTTGATCCCACAAACTTCTCACTCACCGGTGAGAGCGAGCGTTACCACTGAGCTAGGCTGATGGTTGTGAATTCCCCAGTTCCAGTGTACTATGAGGCCACTTAAAACTACCATCATTATGTATTAATGTAATAAATAAATATGTAATAAATTATATATAATACATCACCTAATGCATGATTTAATCCATGTGACAAAAGTTTTATTTATGCCGACATTCTTACATCTGTGTGTAATAAAATTATATGTAAGTTTTTCTCATAATAGGATGTATCGAACGTAAAACAAATTTTAGGACCTTAATAAATGTAATCCTGTGCTTTTAAACGTTATACGTTTGCACAATTGGTGGGACTTACACTAGTGATGCAGATTCCAGAGGAGGAAATACGTTGGCTTGAGTTTCTATTTTATATTATATTGTAATGAGAGATATTTCTGTATGTATTTCTGTCTCGTTTGCTACTTCTTATCATGCTGGGGTGGGTTGTGAACAGACATTTTGTCAAGAACTCTCTCACTGACACAACATAAGGTCAGTCACCTATTATTACCCTCAGTTTCCTCAAATGCCTTCCCAATAGTCTAATCACAGAGTTCTGTATTAATCTGTTTGCTCAGACTGCCTCTTCCAGTATTACAATACGAAATGTGTTAAGAGTCAACTTAGAGACTTATTCATTAATATTTACATCACACAACAGTTTTTGTTGAATATTTTCCCCAGTAAGGGGAGTTATTTATATAACTGAATTCCTGGGTACATTACAGTGTAGTTGGTTGTGAAAAACAAGTGAAAGGTTAAAGAGTCTACATTGTGATCTTTGGGCAAGACATGGACATGATGTGCTTGCAATGCCTTGCATTATAATATACGCTCCTTTATCAGCAGAACTATTGTACAATAACAGTGCACCCTGCCTCACTACTGAATCCCATAGATGAGTGAGAACCGCAAGTGTGCAAGAAGAGTGTCTGAGAGCAAAGTGAATTGGGGATTGGCGACATGGCGAGAGGGAAGGAGGGAGCGAGTGTTCAAGTGTGAGAGAGAGAGGCAAGGACTAACATTACAGGCAGAGGGGAAAGTGTAGCAGTTGGATGCTACGTCACACAGCAATTCACATGTCAGCATGTCAGCTGCCATCTGGTTACCTTGTTTAAAATCATTCTCAAAAAGGTGCATTGTCAAGGTCATTTATTACATCAATAAACTAATTGTTTTGACTGCTGCAGCAATGTAGCTAAATACCTAATGCTGCCTTCAGCTACTGTGACCTTATAATAGTTTGTCTTGGGAAAGATTACGACATAACTTGTGTCAAATAATACTTAAAAAAACTAATCTTTAGGATTTTAATACTTGTAATAAAAATGTGACTTGTGTATATCAGTCGTGTAATATATTTCACTCAGGATTTGTTGTGACTATTGGAAAATTCAGCTTTGTGAGAAGATTATTTGAAATCCAGGTGTGGATTCACACAGTATCTTATTCACAGAGGCAGAGTTATGGTTGTTTGGTACAGTTGCAGTTCAGAATGTGCCTCTAAGCTTGTTTTCAATGTATAAACTCAATTAAGCCATGATGGGCCCAGATTTAATTTGATCGATTATAGTTGTTTGCATGTGTGATGGTAGAGAGAGCAAAGGGAAGGGAGACTGAAGGCAAATGTGGTTAAGAGACGTTTGGCAGATCGCTTTCCGGGGGCTGTAATCCCTCCAAAAAAATTGAACAATCCACTTCAAGTATATTCTGTGAAGTGCTTTGAGACGTCTCAATGACGTGATAAGGCACTATATCAAATGCAGTATTATTGTTAATAATAAACTCATTTTGTGTTCAGGCAGAGACGTTGAGCAAACTGCAGCAGCAGGTGGCAGACCTGACTGAGGAACTGAGTGCAAATCAAGCCAAGCTCTCCGAAATCCAAAAGGAATATGAAACCACTCAAGCCAATTTGGCCAAACTTCAGTCCGATATTTATGGAAAAGAATCGGAGCTCTCTTCAACCAGGCAGGATCTGAAGGTAATGCCTGTAGCAACATCTAATCGTCAATAAAAATCAGGCCAACCGTTATAACACTTGCCCACTTTATAGAGAGAATTGTAAGATGTATTAACCTAATATAAATCACTGTCAAATGTATTATTCATTTTTGAGACTGATGGAGGATAAGAACGCTTCACAGTGGCGGAGCATGACACCTAGCCGGCGGAGGGGACCATAGGCATGGTCGACTAGGAAGTTCTTTAGTCACGACCTGAAGATGGGGAAGGAGAGGGCAATGCGGAGGGATAGAGAGAGAAAGTCTTCCAGATTTTTGGAAAAGCAGTTGATCAACCTCTGAAGTGTTGTATCAAACACACACCTCCAAAAACAATAAACAATAATACAGTATATTCTGTGAAGCGCTTTGAGACGTCTAGAAGACGTGAAAAGCCCTATATCAAATGCAAGGATTATTATTTCTTTGAGATGCTGATGTGAGTTTTCACCTGTAAGTAAGGATTATGTGTAGAACGAGTCTGTCTTTCACACTGACTATAATAATAATCCCTGCATTTGATATAGCGCCTTACCGCGTCTTTGAGATGTCTCAAAGGGCTTCATAGAATATACTGTAAAGTCAATTGACTGTATATTTTGCGGGTAAGACAAATAGTAATTTGCTCCAGTAAATTGTTGGAAAGTAACAAATAATAAAAATATCTTTACTATACAGACCAGAGAGGAGAAATTGTCCTTGGCTCAGGAAGACCTCATTACCAGCAGGAATCAAGCAAATGTCATGAGTCAAACAATCCAGGAACTGAAGCAGGCCAAAGCTGCGTTAGAAAAGAATATCTGTAACAAAGAAGCTGAGATTAAGGACACAGAAAAAACATTATTGGATTCGCAGAAAGAAAAGGTAATGCTTTGCAGAATTGCCTTCCAATTTCTTCCTCTTACTTGGGGTACATCACCCCACTCAAGGTAGACATCTTAACTATGCCTCCTTACTATCTGCTGTACAAGTTCAGCACTACATCTCCTATCAGCAACACCACCTTGTATTTAAATAGCGCCCCTCAAGCAGGGTAGCGTCCCAGAGCGCTTGACAGTGACGGAGCCCATCATACACAGCCGTCCGATGCAATTGCAGCCATTTTGACCTCACTGCTGAATGCCATAGATGAGTGCGAACTGCAAGTGTGTGACACCAAAGTGAGTGGGGGATTGGTAACGTTGTGAGAGAAGGAGGGAGCGGGTGTTCCAAGTGCGAGAGAAGACGAGGAATGACGAGGTGTGCTTTTTTTTGATATAGCGCCTTACCACATCGTCAAGATCTCAAAAGCGCTTCACCGGATATACTGTAAAGTGCTTTGACTGTATTTTGTGGCGAAACACTTTACAACCAATCCTGTGATGCACTTTGAAATGTCCCGATGACGCAAGGTCAAACGCCAGGATTTATTAATGTTATTGAGAAATTCAGATGTCATTTGAAGTCCTGTAGCTCAGTGGTTAGAGCACTCGCCTTGCAAGCGAGACACCTGAGTTCAATTCCAGGCAGAGGGCGAAACCTTGGGCAAGTTTCCTTACTCCACACAGAGCCTAATAATAATCCTCCAAAACCAAACACAATAATAAATTGGTCATTTTCAATCTACGACTGTTTGTGGGACATTGCTGTGCGCAATTGGCTGCCGCGTTCGCCCACAAATATACAGTCAATTCACTTTACAGTGTGTTCTGTGAAGCGCTTTGAGACGTCGGGAAGACGTGAAAAGCGCTATATCAAATGCAAGGATTATTATTATTATTATTATGTGAACACTCTGCTCTGTCGGGTGTGGGTACTGCTATTGGCCACAAGGTGGAGCAGCAATGGTGTCCTTCGAGGGGAGGGGAGGGGGAGGGGGTGAGAACAGTGAAGAGGAAGATGTATTCTCTTCCGGTTTCAGATCGAGGAACAACCCAATTTGCCGTGGACGCTTTCCAGACGAGCTCATTCTCTCTTTGGTAAAGGAGGACAGGCAGCGCTCGGTCCGGAAGGCAGTCGGAGAGTATTTACAGCTGAGATGTTAAGATTTTTAAAAAGAAACAACCCAGAGAGGGAAATAAAGTGATAAACTTATCGGAGCAATTTATAAATTGTTGAGGCTTGTTTGGTCATTTATAATTCGGTCACTCAACCCACGGCTGTTTGTGGGACGCTCCTGTGCGCAATTGGCTGCCGCGTTTCGCCCACAAAATACACAGTCAATTCACTTTACAGTATATGCTGCGAAGCGCTTTGAGACGTCTCGAAGATGTATTAAGGCGCTGTACCAAATGCAAGGATTGTTGTTATTCTTTGTGGAAGGTACAAAGTGATTTTTCTTGTTGATTGCTCTCTTCTCTGTGCTCAATCATGTGGGCAGATCGGGTTAGCTTCAGTATGCAACTGTTTAAGGAAACTACGGAGAACAGAAGTGACCTTAGGGTATAACAGGAAATGCATCACTTAAGATAAGAATTTGCTTTGATTTTCAGAGTTGGTTTGTGTTAAAAGAAAACTATAATGTAACTGTTTTGTTACAGGCTTTGAAAGAAGAGGAGTTGGCAAAAGCAAGTGCGAGAGCCAGTAAACTGCAGGAGGTGAAGGAATCACTGAGAAAGCAAATTGTTAAACTTACTGAGGATCTCAGAGTCAGCAAAGAAGAGTCTGAGAAGGTTAGTCTGAGACCAAAACTTCAAAATCTCAGCTAGAGTAACACAGAGACAATACAGATGTGGAGTCCTGTAGCTCAGTGCTTAGTGCACTCGCCTCGCAAACAAGAGGCCCTGGGTTCGATTCCTGGGCAGGACAAAATGTTGGCAAGTTTCCTTACTCAACATACTCTGTTTATCTCGCAGTAAGTAGGACCCAGTTTTTATTCTGAACATGAAGTGTTACCAATAGTGCACCATTGAATTTTTTGAGTGCAATCCTGTATTGCACAAATAAAATAGCTTTTGATTTAACTTGCTAATGAACGTGTTTGAGACGCAAACTGTGAGCTTGTCGGTGTTTGATCACAGGAGTTATCGGATCTGAAAGAAGCTAAACAGTTGCTGATTCAGCAGAAACTGGAAATTCAGGGTAAAAGTGACGGCATCAAGTCCATGCTGGACCAGGAGAAGAAGGATCACCAGCTCGACAAGAACAAATTGGAGAAAGTAGAGGGAGAACTGAAGAAACAGTGTACAGAATTAGAAAACAAATGGGTTAGTAATCTCCAATCAGATCATGGTGGAGCCCACATTCATTATAATAATAATAATCCTTGCATTTGATATAGCGCTTTTCACGTCGGGAGGACGTCCCAAAGCGCTTCACAGAACACACTGTAAAGTGAATTGACTGTATATTTGTGGGCGAACGCGGCAGCCAATTGCGCACAGCAATGTCCCACAAACAGTCGTAGATTGAAAATGACCAATTTATTATTGTTTTTTTGAGGGATTATTAGGCTCTGTGTGGAGTAAGGAAACTTGCCCAAGGTTTCGCCCTCTGCCTGGAATTGAACTCCGGTCTCTCACTTGCAAAGCGAGTGCTCTAACTACTGAGCTACAGGACTCCACTATAATTTGCATTATAATTGCATTGCACTATAATTTCCATTATAATTTGTTTGAGGAATGTGTTTCGCAAGCGAAAGGACTTGGGTTCGATTCCCGGGCAGAGCAAAACCTTAGGCAACTTTCCTTACTCCACACACCTCTGTTTACCAGCAGTAAGTAGGAACCCGATTGTTAGTCGATTAGTGGATTGCTTTCCAAAGGTAATAATCCCTTTTTTAAAAAAACACGTGGTCACTCAATCCACGACTTGTGGGACCCTCCTGTGTGCAATTGGCTGCTACGTTTCTCTCACAAAATACACAGTCAATTCACTTTACAGTATATTCAGTGAAGCGCTTTGAGATATCTCGAAGATACAATAAGACACTATATAAAATGCAAGTATTATTATGTAAAGACTGTTGTTTTCTCCCCCCTCCTCCCACTATAGCAAAGTGAGCTGAAGGATAAAGATACACAAAGGAAGAAACACGAGGAATCCGAGGCCAAACTGAACATGCAGATAACCGCGCAGAATGAAAACATGGCCACACTAAAGAAAGAGTGGCAGAGCAGCCAGCGGCGGGTCAGTGAGCTGGAAAAGCAGACTGACGACTTGCGTGGGGAAATAGCTGTGTTGGAAGCTACAGTACAGAACAATCAGGATGAGAGGAGAGCACTCCTGGAAAGGCAAGTCTGTGGTTGTTTGTGGGACGCTGCTGTGTGCAATTGGCTGTCACAAAATCTCTCACTCACAAAATATACAGTCAGTTCACTTTACAGTATATCCTGTGAAGTGCTTTGAGACGTCTCGAAGACGTGATCAGGCGCTATATCAAATACAAGGATTATTATTAATATTATAAATATCATTTTGTGTTGACTATGTGGCTGTTTGTGGACCATTCCTGTGCACAGGTTGGCTGTGCCTACAAATGCACAATCACTGACTGCACTTTGCAGTAAATCTTGTGCAGTGCTTTGAGATGTTCTCCCGATGTGAAAGGTACTATATCAAAGCAATTTTGTTTTTGCTTTGATTGTTATTTGTCATGGAATTTGACTATTAGATAGCAGGATGATGACTTTACTGAACAAAAACTAACTCCAAACTAATATTCTGTTACCTGGGAGTTGAATGCTGTGAGTTGGAAGTTGGTTATGAGCTCAAAGTCCTGATGTGGGGCTTGTATCCACAGCCTTCTGACTTGAGAGGTGTGAGATCTTCACAAGAGCATCTTTACAGGAGTTGCAATTTAATTGGGAAAGAAAGTAAAACCTTGAACTTTATTGAACATGATTTACAATAGTTGAATTTCAGTATCTTACAAAAAAAGTTTAACCTTATAATAATAATAATCCTTGCATTTGATATAGCGCTTTTCACGTCGGGAGGACGTCCCAAATCGCTTCACAGAACACACTGTAAAGTAAATTGACTGTGTATTTGTGGGCGAACGCGACAGCCAATTGCGCACAGCAATGTACCACAAACAGTCGTAGATTGAAAGTGACCAATTTGTTATTGTTTTTGGTTTTGGAGGGATTATTATTAGGCTCTGACTGTGTGGAGTAAGGAAACTTGCCCAAGGTTTGGCCCTCTGCCTGGAATTGAACACAGGTCTCTCACTTGCAAAGCGAGTGCTCTAACCACTGAGCTACAGGACTCCACAATAATAATTTATAATAATAATTTGATATAGCGCCTTATCAAGTCATCTCTTCTCTTTTCACTGATGCTGGTCTGGCCAGTTCTGATGATGGGCCACACCTGACATGTTGTCTATTGCAATTTCTGAGTATTACATTCAGAATTTTGCCACACCCTTTTCTATGAAGCCAGTGTTGCTTCACTGTGTGAAAGATTTTCCATTTGTATGCCTTAGTGAGTTGTATAACCTTTTATGTGCATGTTTTTTTTCCCCTCTTATTATTCCATCTAAAGGTGTCTCAAGAGCGAAGGAGAAATTGAGAAACTCCAGGGGAAAGTGGTGGAGATGAGAAGGAAGTTAGATGATACCACAGCTGCTATGCAGGAACTGGGGAGAGAAAACCAGACACTGCAGGTAAGACCCGCAGTGAAAATTCATCTGTGTTTGTGTAAGGATTTTTATCTGAAGTCTTTGAAGTCCTCCACAGCCTTGCTCCTCCCTACCTCTGTGACCTGCTAACTTCATGTAGACCTGTCCACTCCTTCCACTCGGTGGGCTCCGGCCTGCTCCACGTCGCCCGCCCCATCATCTGAGGTCAGGTTTTCAGCCTATCTGACTCCACTCTCTAGAACTCCACCCCACAGTCCCTTCGCCTCGCTCCCTCCTTCAAGATACGTCTCCAAACCCTCTTCGACCACACCTTCGGTCACCCTCCTACCCCTACCCTGAAGCTGATCTGAAAGCACAAATTACCACTGTTCCCTTCTGTTTCTCCTTGGAATGGTTTGTCTTGAGATAAATCCGCATTTCCTGCAAACATTTTTATCATCTCTCATTCTGAATAACACTGAGCAGCTGAAATATATTTATTTTATTACCACATTCATGGTTGATGCAGATGTAACTGACAATGTGCTTCAGACTCCTACCCATGGTCCTAGTCTCACATTGGTTTCTTTTAATTGCTTAACGAGAGAGTTAATATAAACAGGGTCTCTGGGTTAACAACATTGACTGTTTTAAAAAAATAAAATGTTTCCATGAAGAAATTAAACTTGCAAAACTTTCTCTTTTGTCAGATTAAACAGACACAAACAATAAATCGGAAATGGACTGAAGACAACGATGTGGTGAATTGCATGGGCTGTGGCAAGGGATTCTCAGTCACGTTAAGAAAGGTATGCGTTTACTCATTTTAATCCACTCATCCAAAACCATAACAAATTACATTTACACAATGTCTTTCAGGTTGGGTGGACAGTCGAGGATTTTGACCTGAGATGGGGGTTGGTTCAGGAGGGGGGCAGGAGGGTGCGGGTAGGAAGGTGACCGAAGGTGTGGTCGAAGAGAAGGGTCTTGAGACGGCCTTGAAGGAGGCGAGGGAGGGAGCGACGTGAAGGGATTGTGGGGTGGAGTTCCAAAGGGTGGAGGCAGAGAGGCTGAGGGGGTGGGGACATAGCAATCCACTTCCAGTAAATTAAGTTCCTTTTTATAACGATAAACCAATCTGCCTCACGCTTGACTTCTCTGAGTCTAACAGCATGAATTAATTCCCTTCAGACTTTTCCATAGACTTTTAAAGTAAGGAAATGAAGAGAGATTGAGGTCCTGCATGATTGCAGAACCATTAGACTGTGACCAGGGTCAGACTAAGTGGTGTTCTGATCTTTACAAGACAGGAAATAACTGGATTGTATCCATTCAATGTTTTGGGCTTTTGTTAACAAAGTCCTGATGAAGATGAAGATAATAATAGGGAATTCACTTTACAGTGTATTCTGTGAAGTTCCTTCAGACGTCTTGAAGACTCGAAGACACGAAAAGATGCAAAATCAAATGCAAGGATTATAAAACAAATTTGTCAAAACGTGCAAAATAAATTCATGCCCCTAAAGACCTTCCTCTTCGACCGTGGTCACCCCCGACTCAGCATTGTGCTCTGCCACTGTCAAGCACTCTGGGGGATGCTCCGCTGTGTGAGGGACACTGTGTAAATGCAGGTTGTTGTTTTGATGATCTGGCGTGCCAGTGTAATCCAGTTAATAATAATAATGATAATAATCTCATTGATTTCAGCATCACTGTCGACACTGCGGAAACATCTTCTGTTCTGATTGTTCCTCAAAGTCGGCCTTGACCCCCTCTTCAAAGAAGGCAGTACGAGTCTGTGCTACGTGTTTTGAAGAACTGCAGGGATAAATTGGTCCTTTGAATTAGCCTCTATTGAAGAATCTGTATTCACTAATCTCGTATTCATGCACTCGTTTTGAACCTTTGTTCAAAGTTGTAATAAATCATGTCCTTGATAATAGTTAATTTCAATTGGTAAAAGTTTGATGTATTCAGCTCACACCCAACTCCACCCTCACACCTTGACCAACGTTCTTTATGGTTTAGCTTATAACAGCTAACACTAACCTCTGCCAATCATGCTGAAATTAGTTATCAGTAAATGTAGATGAGGGATAAATGCTAGTCAGATATGTGTGCTTTTGCTAGACCAAAGAACGTTAAGGGAAATAATTGAACAAGGGGAACAATTAGTGTTTCTCAATGCACTGACATGTATGTTCTTCACACAGCGCTAGGTTTGATGCTAGGGCAACCTTAATTAGGTTTTAATTTAAATTTGATCAAGTCTCTTCGAATTCATGCAGTCCATTAATTTCCCCAGAGTCTTTAGAAATGGGAAGAAAAGTCCTGGACATATAGAAGACTTGTTTTCATACAAATATCGTACCTTCAGCAAAGAATGTTTAGTTTTTTGTTGTGTCCCTGGAACCCTCTCCTGAGTTGTAATAATACCAATCTGGTGAAATGGGAGGAGCCGAGTTTCTCTCACACCGATAACATGCTTTAGTGAGGGGGAGGGAACTTTGGCTCCACCAGGGAAAGATGCAGAGGCATTGTATTAGAGATAGAGAGCACGTGTGGCCTTGGCTGAGTGTGGGTGACTCTCGTGCACTGGTTCCCCCTGGGCTGTGGGGCTCCACATCACCTCCCAGGCTGAGCTGGATAATCTGCATATATGTATATTTCATCTTTATCAAGATCTGGGAGGCCTTAGTGGGAGGACTCGGCGCTTTAAAGATGTAATTTTGATGTTGTTGCCGCGGCTTAGCTTCGTCTGAGTTCTTTATTTGTTCTCGCCGCTTGGCTTTGTGCGTACTCTGTGACACAGGACGCCACAGCGCCACTTTGACTCAGCAGCCACCAGGTATAATTGCAGGAAAATACACAAAACTGAAAATTACTCAGGAGAAACCCGAAAACAAATATGCCCATGTCACTCCCAGTAGCAAGCCTTTCCGCTGAAGTATTAATCATGTCTCAATGTCAATTGGTTATTGAGATCCTCTTGAAGCGCAGACAAACATTGTCGTTTTGTTAGTATAGAAGATATAGATAGATTATTAGTATAGACAGAAGATCAGCCGAGACTTTCACAACTGCACTCTCACAAGGTTCGTCAGCAGTTGTCCTGACGGAGAGAGGAGCAGCCTATAGATGTGCTAAAAGCCAAGACCCCTCCCTCACTCACTCCCTCCCTCACTCACTCACTCACTCACTCACTCACTGGCAAGAGCTCTATTTGCACTTTTGTTTTCCTGCTTTCGTCAAGAGGAATAGTATTTAGACCCGAAAATGCTCCCCCTCCCCCGCCTCTTGCCTTTAAGAAATTGAGCAATACTAAGAACCATGTTGATGACCACTGTGCACTTGTTGATGGATATTGTAAACTCTGTGGGTGAAATCCATATTAGTTAATTATTACAAAGTCCACATACAGTAAATAACAGCTGGCCCACAAAATAGTCAATTCACTTTACAGTATATCTTGTGAAGCGCTTTGAGACGTCTCGAAGACATGATGAGGCTCTGTAACAAATGCAACTATTATTATTATTATCTCCATTCCCTTATGTTTTATGGGTTTCTCACTAAACTACACCTGTTCCCGTGAAAGCTTTTACATTTGTTCTCGAAAAAAGTATTGAATGTGTAATTGGATTGTACTGAATTGGATTTTAGTTGTAAATAAATATTGGCCTGATTTTAGTAATTTATTATGTTTATATATTTTCCATGCACTTGTTAATAATTCTCACTGTTGCTGACTGCGATGAAAGGGAATGGCACTCGAAAAGGGGGAGACTGCCAATGTTAAGTACGCCAAGTTATCTTAAAAACCTTTATCTCTTCAAAGTTGAATTGTTGCCGATTGGGAAAATAACTTGTGGTTATCCATCATAATACACTCTCCCTACTAGACAGACTAGTGGTTAGCAAAACATACTAATTTAGTCACTTCAATCCATGACTGTTTGTGGGACGCTGCTGTGCGCAATTGGCTGCTGTATTTTGTCCACAAAATATACAGTCAATTCACTTTACAGTATATTCTGTGAAGTGCTTTGTGACATCTCCCAAGGGCATGATAACGTACTATATTAAATGCAAAGATTATTATTGTTATCAGACAGCCCCCTGACTGCTTGGCTGTTGCTGAGGTTTACTGGGATTGATGACTTCCTTGCTCCTGAATAGCAAACCTGCCAAAGGCTCGTTACTGGTTGCCTTACAGTGAATAGATTGTGAACAGAAGTGGAGGATTGAGTTCAATCTCCTTCCAGTCCCCCCCCCCCCCCCCACAAGGAAGCAAGTAGACCCCCTTGATATTGCACCTTGACAGCACCTCTATGATGGAGAAATCACAAGTAGGTTATTTTGGCCATAATCCAGTGTCTTATATCTCCTACGGCACAAGATGTTGCTCTTACACTGCCTGCAATTTGTGCTCAAAGCTGCTCTTTTTCTTTGTTCTTTGACAAAACCAGTATTGCCACTTTACTGAGATCTGCCCGGCAGATCAACATGAAATTGTAATTATTGCTTGACTAGAATATAAATCTCATTGCCTTTTACATTTTATTAAATAGCTTTCACTGAGATAGTTAGCACAATTGTTTTTTTTTCTAATGGGTTTTATTTAGCAAAATTCCCACGTGCAAATTCCCGAGCAGGACGAAATGTAAGGCAAGTGTCCTTACTCCGCACGCCTCGGTGTATCTAGCAGTAAGTAGGAACCCGGCTTGTTAGTTTCCAGGGATAATGATCCCTTTCAAAAAAAAAAAAAAAAAAATTGGTCACTCAAAACAACGACTGTTTGTAGGACGGACGCTGCTGTGCACAATTGGCTGCTACGTTTCACCCACAAAATAGTCAATTCACTTTACAGTGCATCCTACGAAGCACTTTGAGACATCTCAGAAGACATGATAAAGCGCTGTGTCAAATGCAAGGATTATTATTATTAGAAGCAGCAACACTGAATTGTTCTCAGCCCTGCTCAGTTTGGACAGTGACTGTAATATCTGGCCAAAATAAAAGTACTGAAGACATTATCACATAAGGCAGCATCCCAATGCTCCAGCCACATAGTTCCATTAGATAATCATTTAATTTTTAACCTCAGAATTGTCCTTTTAATAGTGGGTGTGAGCTTATGAGCGCGTTATTGATTTACATTGGCATTTAATGCTAACACGTAACCATCTGATGTTCAGTTTTGATCTTGCCTGCATGAAATATCAATAGAACACCCTCACTTACACGCTTACTGTCAAAAATGATGTGAATATCACAGAACTGTGTACAAAAATTGTACTAATTTCCATGTTATCTGAACACGTGTATAGATATTATCAGTTTGAAAGTTTTGACTAGCGATGATACTGGCTGAAGATCATGTGAACTGTTTATAGTAAGTGATGTTAAGTTAAACAGTGACACGACTTCCACAATTAAAATTTATTGCTTAGTAAAATGACTTTAGCATCCTTTTTATGTACAAGTTATGGTAATATTTTGGTTTTTTTCCTTTAAAATAATCTAATGAGGTTTGTGACCGTTTTTAATGACAGTATTAGTTGTGCCTTATGTTCAACCCCTTAACCGCTGCCTCCGCTCGACTGGCTCTGGCCTCCTGCTTGTCCCTCGTGCCCTCCGTTCCACCATTGGTGGCCGGGCTTTCAGCCGCTATGCCCCCAAACTCTGTCACTCTCTCCCTCTATCCCTCCTCCGCCTCGCCCCTTCCTTCCCGAACTTCAAGTCGCACCTGAAGACCTTCCCCTTTGACTGTACCTGCAGTCACCTCCCCCCCCGGCTCGGTGTCGTGCTCCGCCACTGTCCAGCGCTCTGGGACACTGCCCATTGTGAGAGGCGCTGTGTGAATGCAAGTTGCTGTTGTCATTCCATTTTTCTAATGAATATCCCGAGGTAGACTTTAAAATGGATGGACAGTCTCTCGTTCAGTCCGTAGGTGACCAAGCTAAGAGCTGTTCGTTGTGAAGCAGTAAACCTGGAGAGTTGTAGTGTTACTAGATTTCCGATGACTCTCGCACTGAGGAACTTTCAACTGGTGTTCGTTGAGGATCTTGGTTGTGTGTGAAAGTGGTGATTGCGTTTGCTATCTGGGACATCCAGGTTCTCTGAAAAGGATGAGAATAAATGGAAGGCCTGAGTGAGTACATTCAACACTCGAGCACAGCATTTTGTCCTGATTAAATGGATTTTCAACCAAATTAACTGTCATATTTAAAACAAGTAAGCGTACAAGTGAATCGGGCGTTTGTCCGATTTACCCGGCGTCTGGGGGTTAACCAGTGTCCGGTTTAAAGCGGCTTCCACTGTAATAATAATCCTTGCATTTGATACAGCGCCTTATCACGTTGAGACGCCTCAAAGCGCTTCACAGGATACACTAAAGTGAAATGACTATATTTTGTGGGCAAAACGTGGTAACCAATTGCGCACAGCAGCGTCCCCACAAATGTCACTCCCTTATCATCAGTCCTGCACAATTGAGAAATACGGAAGGTAATTGATGGCGGCTGCAGCAAATGGAGACAGACTCACAAAGTGGCTTGCGAAACGACTTAAAGACGGTATGAATTTGTTAAATTAAAAAGCAATTTAAAATGCACTTTTTATGGCAGTTATATTCCTTCCAGTTATATTTTCGAAGACACCGCTTTCTAAAAAAAAATAACAAAAGCTCATTTTTTCTTTAGTCGTTACTCGATGCTCAAACTATTGCAGTTAGATTTTTTTCCTGAGTGTAGTTTACCTTGTTAGCCTCTGACTGTGCTTGAAGTGTGAACATTCCTATGGACTGATGATACCTGTTTTGATGGATTACTATGAAAGCATAATGGAGTCCACAAGCTACAAAAGAAGGAGACGCCGTGAGAATCTTTTATAACAATAATAATCCTTGCATTTGATATCGCGCTTTATCACCTTCTTGAGACGTCTCAAAGCGCTTCACGGAATAGACTGTAAAGTGAATTGACTGTGTTTTGCGGGTGAAACGCGGCAGCCAATTGCGCACAGCAGCGTCACACAAACAGTCGTGGATTGAGTGACCAAATTATTATTTATTTATTGGAGGGATTATTATCCTCGGAAAGCGATCCGTCAATCGACTAACTGTTTAAAATTATTATTATTATTTAAATTATTTACTTTATTAATCTTTATTCTGAAATTGTTAGGTATCTTTATTACATCGATGCTCAGATATAACACTGGAAATATCTTTCAATGGTTACAGGCAAAACATAGATGACTTACAGTTTGCATAGAATGAATCAATGTTCTTAAGCAGCAATCTGTTCAGAGGTATTGGCTGATCAAATACGGCACATATCATCCCGTCTCTGACCATGGAGTGCAATTCAGGATTCAAGGTCGGGCTTGTAAGCCCAATTTCGAAGACTCCTGACAATCTCTATAAGGAAAGCAAAAATCTGCCACGTAACAACAAGAGATTATAATGATAATCCTTGTATTTGATATAGCGCCTTATCACATCATTGAGACGTCTCAAGCCGCTTCACAGAATATATTGAAAAGTGAGGTGACTGTTTTGTGGGCGAAAGGCAACAAACAATTGTACCCAGCAGCGTCCCACAAACAGTCGTGGATTGAGTGACCAAATTTTATTTCTTTTTTTAGTGGGGTTATTATTCCTGGAGAGCGATCTGCCAATGGCCTAACAGCTGCGTTCCTACTTACTGGTAAATAAACAGGCGTGTGGAGGAAGGAAACTTGGCTAAGGTTCGCCCAGCTTGTGATGCAAACACACTGACCGCTACGCTACAGGACTCCACAAGATTAATCACCCATTACTTAGAAGAGGGAGCAGGAAAAATAATGTTGTTTTCCAAACTTTTTTTTATGGGGCAGTCATTAATTTCCATAAGCCCCATAAAACTGAATGTGGGGCTGAATCACTATAGCTCAATTCACCACAATAACAGGAATAAGCCATTCAGTCTGTCCTCACATGGGCCATAGTTATCTTGGATCATGGCTGATCTGCAACCAACACTGCTCAACAAACAACATTTAGTTCAGTTTGCAGCCAATATAAAAAAACTAGTAATTTACAAATTTAATATGACCTGTTTTCTCATCCCAGGAACTCTAAGTGCCTACAGTTTGGGTGTGTGCTTCGAAACGTCAGTACAGTAATTTATTACCTTTTTAATGCGTTTAATCTTCGTGATTAAGAGAAAGTCATCAAATAGAACCAAATACACATCTAGGATTTTATTATTTCCTGTAAGAAAGTAGGGTAAAGAGCAAATTAATATTTATTAATAATAATCTTGCCTTTGATATAGCCTTATCACGTTTTTGAAACATCTTAAAGCGCTTCACAGAATATACTGTAAAGTGAATTGACTGTATATTTTCTGTGTGAAACGCGGCAGCGAAATTGTGCACAGCAGCGTCCCACACACAGGCGTGGGTTGAGCCAACCACACACACATTACATTTACACATTTCGTGGATTGAGTGACCAAATTTTTTTTCTTGAAGGGATCCAGCAATCGACTAACAACCGGTTCTTACTTACTGTGAGGTAAACAGGGATGTGGGGTAAGGAAACTTGCCTGAGGTTTCGCCCTGCCTGGGAATTGAACTTTGCGAAGCGAGTGCGCTGACCACTATACCACTATTTAAATGCCAAGCATTTTGTGTTGATGTAAGCAAACTGGCAAAATAAGTTACATTTACCTGTAAGTCCTAATTTTCCTTCGTGTAGAAGCTGTCTGTTTGGAGATGTGAAGAATCCCTCTTTCGTGCTATCTTTCAGGGTATGTCTCAGACACTGGTCATTATTGGGGGAAAAAGTAATGAAAGTTATATAATGAAAGACAGTGTCTTGGTACATTTAACGTATATAAAAACTATTTTAATTCTGGCATTTTATCTCCTTCTCCACATTGCCCTCTCTCCCCCCCCTCTTCCCCTCCTCCCTGCCCCACATTAAGAACCTTGTCTCACACGGACAAAGTTCCCCTAATAATAACAATCCTGGCATTTGATACAGCGCCTTATCATAACTGCAAGACGTCTCAAAGCGCTTCACAGGATATGCTGTAAAGCCGAGTGTATTTTGTGGGCAAAACGTGGCAGTCAGTTGTTTATTTATGACGACTATTCAAGACTGAGATCGATAGATTTTCAAAAACTAAAGGGATTAAGGGATAGGGCGGGTAAATGGAATTAGGATAGAAGATCAGCCATGATCTTATTAAATGGCGGGGCAGGCTCGAGGGGTCTGCTCCTATTTCTTATGACTAGGATTTGTTCCTGAAACTAATGCTGTTTCAGGCAGCTCTCTCCCTCATTCTCTTCCTCGTTGCTCTCCGTAGCATGAGTCATCATTGTTCCAACAAGATAACAAGAACCTCGGGGCCAAGTCAGTCAGTCATGAAACTGGAGTCATGTAACCAGTGTAACAATATCAGACATTAAGCCTAGAGAGAGTGTCAGAGGTCAGTAGGTGCCCAACGCACTGACCACTTTGCAGTGAGATGACATGAAGATCATGAGATGAAACCAACTGGACTTGTTGTCCTTCAGATGAGACAGAAACAGGACTCGAGGTGAGAAGTGAAACCCATCTCTAAACTTAACTCCTTTTTACAAAGAGACACACCTGCACGTCGCGGTGTACTTGGAGGAGGAAGTTTTAATGGAACACAGTAGGGTGTGAACAATAGGCTGAGAGCGTTGTCTGTAGGTGATGTAATCATAAAATGCAGTCACTAACTAATGATTCTGCTTCCAGTAACACAACAGCCAACTCCCTAACAACACTGGACACTCAACCTGTGCTTGCCTTGTCATTGCTTGTCCCCCGTGCCCTCCGTTCCACCATCAGCCACTGGCCCCCAAACTCTGGAATTCTCTCCCTCCATCCCTCCCACTTGTCTCCTCCTTCCCCATCTTCAGGTCGCACCTGAAGACTTTCCACTTCGACCGACCTGTGCCTACTAGTGATGTGCCTACTTATGATCCACCAGCTGACTAACAACCAGGTTCCTACTTACTGAGAGGTGAACAGAGACGTGTGGAGTAAGGAAACTTGGGTAACGTTTCGCCCTGCCCGGGAATCGAACCCGGGTCCTCTCGCCTGCGATGCGAGAGTGCTAACCACTGCGCTACAGGACTGCACAATTGACCCACGTTACAGGTGATACACTAATTCATTCTTCTTAAAAAAAACAGACTTACCTCTGGAACAAAAACGTTCTTGTTTCTTTCCCAGATTGGAGGCCATACAATCATCTCCTGAAGCTGCTGAATTTTCTGAAAACTTTCCAGCCATTTTACCTTCCCCTCAAGATCACCTGCCACATAAACAATTCTTAGATATTCTATCATAATCCATTAAAAATGTCAGAGTGTGGAAAAGGGCTCCCCCATTAAATAGAATAATGAAAACTATTGCACAGAAATAGGCTATTCAACCCGACAAGTCTATGTTGGTATTTTTCTCCACATGATCCAATTCAACCCTACTCTCTTGCTCTTGCTCTCTTTCTCCCTGCCCAGGAATCGAACCCGGGTCCTCTCGCTTGCGAGACGAGAGCTCTAACCACTGAGCTACAGGACTCGTTTAAATGCGGAATCATTGTAACATGAAAGTCAACTCACAAATGGATTTATCCACGTGCTCAATGATGGTGTGGACAGTCAGCTTCTCTCCTTGGTCGGTGCTTCTCTTCCAAATGTTCTTGAGCAGTAAAGGGTATCTGGTGAACCTCTGCAGCGGTGACACCAGCAGGTCTGACAAGTGCAGCCGCTTACACAGCTTGTTCTGCTCACCCCACTGCCTCATGTACATACCAGAGAGAGAGAGAGAGAGAGAGGGGAGATATCTTTGGAGTAGCTACACACTGAAAGGTGCTCAGAGCTGTCAACAACAACAACTTGCATTTACACAGTGCCCCTCAAGTGGGGTAGCGTCCTGGAGCGCTTGACAGTGGCGGAGCCTGACCCTGAGCCAGGGGCAGAGGGAGGGGTGAGGTGATCGGAAGTGCGATCAAAAAGGAAGGTCTTTGGGCGGGATTTGAAGGTGGGGAGGGAGGAAGTGGGGGAAGGCGGAGGGATTGGGGGAGAGAGTTCCAGAGCTTGTACATTGCACAATAAGCAATGGGTTTGGCAATAGAGGCGAGACAGGAAATAATATGGTATGGAAAATCCCTACCCTGGAGGGAAATTCCAGCTTCTAAATGTCTTAACATAATAATAATAATCCTTGCCTTTAATAAAACGCTTTTATGAGACGTTTCAAAGTGCTTCACAGAATATACTGTAAAGTGAACTGACTGTGTATTTTGTGGGTGAAACGCGGCAGCGAAATTGCGCACAGCAGCGTCCCCACAGACAGCCGTGGTTTGAGTGACCAAATTATTATTTATTCATTTATTTATTTGAAGGGATTATTAGTCCTGGAAAGCGATTGCCCAATCGACTAACAAGCAGGTTCTTACTTACTACCAGGTAAACAGTCGTGTGGAGTAAGGAAACTTGTGTAAGGTTTTGCCCTGCCCGGGAATCGAACCTGGGCCCTCTCGCTTGTGAGGCGAGTGGTGTAGCCAATACGCTACAGGACTCCATTTTATTTGGGAGCGTATTTTACTGTTTGCACATAAACTGAAATAAAAACCACACAATTTGAGGATCGGAATCGGTAATATACTTTAAGAAAAATTCCAAAGTCCTCTCTTGTCTTCAGGGTTTCAAGGTAGTGGATTCCTGTGGAATAATTCAGGCAATACATCTGGTGAGTCTGACACACATCCTCCTGAAACTGATGAAAAAGATTTATAATATTAATAATAATCCTTGCCTTCGATACATCGCTTTGTCAAGATGTCTCAAAATGCTTCACAGAACATGATGTAAATATAGCAGCCTGCAGTTTAAGTAAACAAATCAAACTAGAATCTTATTACAATCATAACGATCATTAATAATAACAATCCTTGCATTTGATGCAGCACCTTATCATGTCGTTGAGATGTCTCGAAGGGCTTCACAGAATTCACATACTGTAAAGAAAATTGACTATTTTTGTGGATGAAACGCGGCGGCCAATTGAGCACAGCACCGTCCCACAAACCGTCGTGGATTGGACGATCAAATTATTATTTTTTTTTGGAGGGATTATTAACCCTGGAAAGTGATCCGCCAATTAACTAACAACTGGGTTCCCACTCACTGCTGGTAAACAGAGGCGTGTGAGTGGATTAAAGAAACTCGCCTAAGGTTTCTCCCTGCCCGGGAATCAAACCCAGGTCCTCTCGCTTGCGAGGCGAGCGCTCTAACTAATACACTACAGGACTCCACATCATTAAAATGATCTTTTAAAAGGAGGCAGTGACAAGATGGTTATGTAACTTTGAAGTTTATCTTTAGGTTGACTTCAGGATAACAGTCTCGTCTCCGCCTCCTTTTCAGGCATTTCTATATATGAACTGTCAACTGAGAGCGACATAAAATAAAATACCTTTGACAGCACAGAGATGGAAGACGAGAGTTCCCTGGAGCGTTCAATTGCACTCAGGAGGCTGGTCAACAACTCCTGGCTCACCTAATACAGTCAAATCACAACAGCACCTTTGTGATTCTGTCAAAAAGTAACTCCAAAATATAATAATAATAATACTTGCATTTCATACAGCGCTTTATCACATCTTCGAGACGTCTCAAAGTGCGTCACAGAATACACCATAAAGTGAATTGACTGTATATTTTGTGGGCGAAACGCGGCAGCCAATTGCGCACAGCAGCGTCCCACACACAGTCGTGGATTGAGGACCAAATTATCTTTATTTTTTGAAGGAATTATTACACCCAGAAAGCGAACCACCAATCGACTTACAACCGGGTTCCTATTCACTGCTGGTAAACAGAGGCGCGTGTGTGGAGTAAGGAAACTTGCCTAAGGTTTCGCGCTGCCCAGGAATCGAACCCGGGTCCTCTCATTTGCGAGGCGAGTGCTCTAACCACTACACTACGGGAATACATTACATATTATGTCTAAGTAAGATATGATGTCAGTCTGTCTTTAAAGAAATTGTATTGATGTGGCACTGATATCAATAGAAAATATAATCCACCTCCGAACATTGCCAATAGGGATGGTCAGGTTACCTTGCACAATTCATCAAGGTTTCCAAACAGTCTCCGGTAATCAACATCCACAAGACAGCCTCTGCTCTGTAGATATTTCAGTGTTTTGAGAAATACCTTTATAATAGGATGAAATGAGACAAATCAAATTTCATAAAATCAAATGCAAAATCAGAGGTCCCAAATTCCACCAAGTTCTTAGCCTTTTTTGTCAAACCATTTTTGTCTGATGATTATCAGAACAGGGCAGAGTTGTGGGAAATAATGATAATAATAATAATAATCTTTGCATTGGATTACAGTGCCTTATCACGTCGTTGACACGTCTCAAAGGGCTGCATAGGATATACTGTAAAGTGTAGTGACTGTGTATTTTGTGGGCGTACTTCCTATCTATGAGTTCTAATTTGTAGTTTGACCGTGTGTAAACCCAGGTGATCCGGGTTAGCATAACAATCAGGTGAATAGCCTGGTGTGAAACCGGTTGCAGTTTGATTTCTGATGTGATGAATGCTTCACATTAAACTGAGATTGACAACCTCACCTCCTGCATCACCAGAAGTTGGTCCAGGAAGTATGTACATTCACTGGTGAAAACCTCCCACAAGGCCTCCTGCAGCTTCTCATCTCTCTTGAGGGAACAAGTCTCCAGGTCAGTGTCAGGCGCTGTCAGGCTCTGTGTCTCCATCACCTGTGTCCAGCATTTATACTAAAAAAAATTAAACAACAATTACATTTACACAGGACCTGCCTTTCAAGTCGGGAGGACATCCCAGGCGCTGGACAGTCAGGGATTTGGGCCGGAGCTGGGGATTGGGATCAGGAGGGGTGGGGGTAGGAGGGTGGGGGTAGGAGGGTGACCGAAGGTGCGATCGAAGACTATATACCGTATAGTCCCAAACTGCACACTGTAGCCACGAGATAGTATTCCCTAACAGAAATCCATCTAATTTGCTTTTGAAGGCCTTGTCCTATTGACTTTGTCTTTAATGAATACTGGCTGAATACCTGGTACTGTTGGAAGCCGTAATCTTTCTGCTCTGTGAGTTTTAACGATGCCAGGACATTCTCCAGCTCCGAGGTTTGCTTTTGTTTTCCTTTGTTCTAAACAAAAACACAAGTGGTGCATCGCAGGTTAGTTACTGCAGTAAATTGTTTCTCATCCATTTCTGCAGCACAGAAATTATGGCAATAATGATAATAATAATAATAATAATCCTTGCATTTGATACCATGTCGTTGAGATGTCTCAAAGCGCTTCACAGAATACACTGTAATGTGAATTGACTGTATATTTTGTGGGCAAAAAGCCAATTGCGGACAGCAGCGTCCCACACACAGTCGTGGGTTGTGTGAACAAATTACATAACAGTATCGTTTTGGGGAAGGATTATTACCCCCGGAAAGCGATCTGACAATTGACTAACAACCGGGTTCCTATTACTGGCAGTAAACAGAGGCGTGTGGAGTAGGGAAACTTGCTGAAGGTTTCATCCTGTCTGGGAATCAAACCCAGGTCGCTATATCAAATTCAGTGATTATTATTTTAACGACTTATTGGAAAACAAAGTATGATCTACCTTGGCTTCTCTGATGGATTGTACCTAAAATGGGAATGAGATGAAAGTACCAGTTATTTGTTTTATTATAATTTTTGACAGAAGACTCAGAACTTTCAGACACATTTAAGCACAAAATATGAATACATTTAAATGACATTGATTTTTCATGCATCTGGAATCTAGATTAATTAAATAATAATTAATAGCCAATTAAGAGAGTAACTCTTCTACCGTGTCTCTGGTCACTTCCCCGAATCAAAATACAAACATACAAAATACGATGATCACATGATTCACCTTTGTTTTCTGTTTGATATGTTACTGTTATATCGTAATATCTATTTCCATATATTTGCATTTTACATTTCTTTGGAAGAAAGAATTGAATGTTTACTGATTATGTATGGAAATAATTCTAACATGAACAATGTATTGCACAATATCAGAATATGATCTGAGCATCTCTACCTGGAAGATAATAATAATCCTTACATTTGATCTGCGTGATAAGGCTCTATATAAAATCCTGGCATTTGATACAGACCTTATCGCATCTTCGAGACGTCTCAAAGTGCTTTGCAGAATATACTGTAAAGGGAATTGACTGTATATTTTGTGGGTGAAACGCAGCAGCCAATAGTGCACAGCAGCGTCCCACAAACAGCCGTGGATTGAGTGACCACATTATATTTTTCTCTTATTATATATTTGAAGAAATTATTACCCCAGAAAAATCATCTACCAATCGACTTAACAACCGGGTTCCTACTTAAAGCGAGGTAAACAGAGGTGTGTGGAGTAAGGAAACATAGAATGCAATAATTAACGCTATGATTTTAAAGGATTGGGGTCTTACTGACCGATAAAGTGTGTTTATCTATGATTGATCAGTTACATAGTACATGCACTCCATGGGAATATAAATGATATTTTAATATAGTTTCAGCCACAGCATATTTATTAAACCTTTTAGGGCAGTTCTGCAAGACAAACAGGATTAACATTACCATTCCTCGCCTTGTGAAGGGCCATTTTGACTTTTTTGTGTCTGTAACAGAAAGAATACTTTAGCATTTCAGTACAGACCTGACTGAGAATCACAAATAATAACAATAATCGTTGCATTTGATACAGCGCCTTATCACATCTTCAAGATGTCTCAAAGCGCTTCACAGAATATACTGTAAAGTGAATTGACTGTATATTTTGGGGATGAAACACGGCAGCCAATTGCACACAGCAGCGTCCCACACACAGTCGTGGATTGAGTGAACAAATTATATTTATTTATTTTTGAAGGGATTATTACCCCTGGAAAAGTGATCCGCCAATCGATTTACAACTGGAGTCCTACTCACTGCTGGTAAACAGAGGCGTGTGTGTGGAGTAAGGAAACTCGCCTAAGCTTTCGCCCTGCCCGGGAATCAAACCGCTTGCGAGGCACGTGCTCTAATCACTGAGTTACAATAAATATAAAGTCTTGAGTTACTGACCATTCAGCCCACAGAATTTTAAGGCGCGTTTCAGAAATGTGGAGCATGTCAATCGCAAAGAACCAGAATGAGTAACATTTACAGATGGAAAGGTGTTTACATTTTTTTTTAAAAAATCAAATGTACTGAAGTAAACTTCAGCTCAGGGCTCACCTGTGTTTGGGGTCAATGCTGAGGTTAGACTATCAGCACCGTCTGAAATAAGTAAGTCTCCAGGAAACACGTCGAGACCCGGTAAAGAGACAACAACTGAAGTACGTCTGCGCTCGGTGCTGTGCCTTGGGAATGAATAAAATACATCTTACACATTGATTTTTTTATGTTATATCATTATAGATTAATACTGGATTGATTCCTCAACATGAAGAATATTTTGGAAAATCAAACATATCCTTTTTATACAGTATATTAAGAATACTGTATATTGACCCAATGTTGTGTTATTATTAATAATAATAATGCTTGGATTGGATATAGAGGCTTATCACGTCTTCGAGACGTCTCAAAGCACTTCACAGAATATACTGTGAAGTTAATTGACTGTATATTTTGTGGGTGAAACACGGCAGCCAATTGCGCACAGCAGCGTCCCCACAAACAGCCGTGGATTAAGTGACCACATTTTGTTGGGGGTGGGAGGTGAAGAGGAGGAGTGATTATTAACCCCAGAAAACGATCCGCCAATCGACTAACAACCGGGTTCCTACTTACTGCTGGTAAACAGAGGCGCGTGGAGTAAGGAAACTTGGCTAAAATGTCGCCCTGACCCATCCGGGAATCAAACCTGGATCCTCTCGCTTGCGAGGCGAGTGCTCTAACCACTACACCTCGGGAATATTATCATTTCATTGTACAATTGTGTTAATTGAAAATATGATAAAGGTAATGGGAAAGTCAAGGCCATACAAAAGAAACCAGAAGGTAGTATTTTACCCTCACTGATTGGAGACATTTTCTTTTAAATGTATTTTTAAATACATTCCATTTCTTTAATGGTCTCAACTTCTTTTAAAAACAAGTACTAGATATTTAAACAGAGAGAATAAAAACACAAATGTGCTCAGACGTTTAAAGCAAACATTTATTTTGTGTTTGTTGCCATGTTACTGCGGTAGTTACTCCTTATGATCTATACCTAGTCATTCATACAATTACTCACTAAGGTCAATTTCATATCAGTTGAATGTCCTGGGGGTATTCAAACTGTCAGATTCTTATTTGCCTAAAATATATCCTGCTATTCATTGGTGAAAACACCAAAGCACTGTCTGGCTCAGAAAAAGAGAGTGAGTCATAGTGTCTTATAACATTGGAATTTGTCCATCCAAATTCCAAAGTTTTGACTTTGCTACTCCTATGCTATTTTCTGTGGCACATTATTAATAATAACACTCGTTGCAATTGATACAGCGCCTTAAAGCTCTCTGAGATGCTAGCTACCCTGCGTGGAGAGCACTATATAAGTATATAAGTTGTTGTTAACGTGTCTTTGAGAAGTCTCAAATTACAGAATAAACTATAAAGTGTACATAAACTATATATTCTGAAGCTTTCAAAGTGCCAATAATTGATGACATTTGTAAGCCGTGTGTGTTACATGTTTCCGTTGGAGATTTGCCAATCACAGCATTTGTACAGCCAGTAAGTGCTGTTTATTAAAGCACTAAAGAGTTTAGCAGCCAAACTCCAAACCGGGCCAATAACTGGGGCTGGTTTGCCCTCATAGAACCCTACAGCACAGAAGGAGGCCAATCAGCCCTTTGAAAGAGCTGTTAGTCCCACTCCTTTGCTCTTACCCCATAGCCCTGCAACTGTTTCCGTTTCAAGTAGCTGTCTAATTCCATTTTGAAAGATATTATCAAATCAGCTTCCACCACCCTTTCAGCCAGTGCATTCCAGACCATAACAACTGGGATCTGTTGAATATAAGGCCTGAAAATCCACCAATGTTAGCCTATAAGATTATGTGGTCTTGAAATTTAAGACTGGGAAGATCTGTCTTCATTTAGAAACCGATTCTGTTTAAGCGCTGGGCAAGATTAACTTCCAATTAATTTTTCACAATGAATAATAATAATAATCCTTGCATTTGATATATCGCCTTATCCCGTCTTCAAAGACGGTCTCAAAGCGCTTCACAGAATATACTGTAAAATGAATTGACTGTATTTTTTTGGCAAAACGTGCAGCCAATTCCGCACAGCAGTGTCCCACACACAGTCGTGGATTGAGTGACCGTATAACGTGCAATTTAGATTCACAATGTCATAATGAGGTGATTTTTTTTTAATGGAAAAACATGCTATACAAATATGAAGTGACCTACCTTCGGGGAATGGAATCATCAGCTGTCTGACCAAAGGAGAGAAAGAAAATGAGTTGAGAATCAGAAACTAAACAAGCACTGAGAGCAACTGGGAAGATTTTAACAAGTGAACGCAAATAGGTTATTTATCAAAACTGAAATTACTAAATAGAAAGGTTTCACATTTTATCTCAGACTATTATTCATAGCAACGTAAAGTATTGGAAAACTATTTAGAATAGTTGTATAATAATTTTTGGATTTGCAGTTGATATAGCACCTTATCACATCTTCGAGACGTCTCAAAGTGCTTCACAGGATATACTGTAAAGTAAATTGACTGTGTATTTGGTGGGTGAAAGTACATATACATTTCTTCAAGTTAAGCTGGACATACAATTTACAATGCAAAGTTCATATCGTTTTATGGAGATCAAATTTTAAGTCTATTTGAAGAAGCTTATACAATCGGATGTTTTTGACAATACCCCTTGTTGAATAAGGTATTCTTAGCTCATAAATACTTGATGATAGATAAACTTGAAATGAAAAAGGAAAGTTATGTGGTTTCCTCTTATTGTTGTTTATCCAATTTTATAAAATTAATAATCCTTGCAATTGATATCACTCTTTATCATGTCTCAAATGTTGTTAAATCATGTTGTTAGATGTCTCAAAGCGCTTCACAGAATATATTTTAAAGTGGATTACCAAACAATCGTGGATTAAGTGACCAATTTATTTTGGGGGGGGAGGGATTATTATCATGGAAAGCGATCTGAAAATCAACAAACAGCCGTATTCCTACATACTGCAGCGTAAACAGAGACGTGCGGAGTAAGGAAACTTGCCTAAGGTTTTGCTCTGCCTGGAATTGAACTCAGGTTCTCTCGCTTGCGAGGCAAGTGCTCTAACCACTGAGCTACAGGACTCCACACGTAACAGAAAATAGCCTCAAAACAGTACGATAAGGTCAGAGCTATAAATAACATCTGAAACTTCCCAATAGGAAACCTGGCAGAGGTTTTTGAGCAGTTCTTAAGATGGCTAAATTCCCGATTCCCACTGCAAATACCCGGACTGAAGGCAAAATACCCTTTTTTTTAGAAATAAAGGGGTATTGTTAGCAAAGCATTACCAACCTCTCCTGTTTGTATGGAAGAGACACAATGGTTGGATCAATCATATGTTAAGGTCATCATCACAATGATGCAAATGATTTTCTTTTCAAGAACAATAGATAAAGAATCTGAGAACAAGTTAACACAAATATATAAAGCAGCATCATTCCTAGCATGACTATGTCCCATTAACAAACAGGGTGGTGTTTGGGTGGAAACGTGAGAACCTGTTATTCCACAATTCGAGTCTAGTTCAGTCTCCTCAATATAGCAGCAAAACAATAATAATGATCCTTGCCTTTGATATAGCATCTTTCATGTCAGGGCATCTGTTCCATTAGCAAACAGGGTGTTGCTTGGGTAAGGATTTGAGACATTGGTGAATGTTGCATGAAAAACATCAATTGATTGTATATTTTGTGGGCGAAATGCAAAATACACAGTCAATTCACTTTACAGTATATTCTGTGAAGTACTTTGAGACGTCACAACAATGTGATAAGGCGCTATATCACATGCAAGGATTATTATTACTTATTGCCCCATCAAAACAGAATTCTTTTATTAGTTGTCCGTTGCATAAATTGTGAACAAATGCAAAGGAACTATAGTATTGTAAATGTAAAAGTATAAAATGTGACCTTTTTACCTGTTGCGAAACTGTAGGCAAAGCAATTTTTTTATCCCCTCTCCGTCTTTCCCAAAGAGAGAGATTTTCCTGGTCCGTCGCAGACTGTTCACAAACAATATGATGATCACCACCCTCTGGATTCACAGACAATGGTCTGTCCACACCATTAATTTCTGTGACCGCCTGAGGCTCTTGTGGCTGTGTTGGGGGTTCCTCAAAGTGAAGGTGTCTTTGATCATCTGTCAATAAATCAGCCGTAGGATGTTGGTCCAATTTAGCTACAGCCACATTCTCTATGATGTCCGATGATGGCACAGAGGAAGGAACGAGCTTGTCTGTACCGTTTGCAGGTGTGGAGGCATCATTGTCAGCCGTGGGCTCCTCAATGCCATCCTTTCTCACCTCCTGACATTTCTGCGGTAGTGTTGGCGGTTGGACCGATACCTTTTTCTTTAGCTTCCGAAAGGAAGGAGATAAGGAGACCCTGGCAGATGCCAACCTGTCAAACTGGAAGCATGGGCTCTGAGGAACATCTGATTCCGGACATAAAAGGGGCCTTAAGATGGGTGATGCCTGAGTCAATTCCAATCGTGGAATGGTCTGTGTCTGCATCTCCTTGTTTGCCATCTGGACTGGACTTGTTTGTACCTCAGCATCACGCTGCTGGGCAGGGACAGCCTCCACCTTGTTTTCTCCAATTGTCTCTTCATTCTGTAGTTTGACGTTATCATCATCTTCATTCATTATATCACAGCCGTTGTGCACATTTTCAGTCATTTCCCACCAAGGAGATTTTGCGCACTCATTTCCATCAATCATTATCTGTGGAGTTTCACCTAATAACAATGATCATAATAACAATCCTTGCATTTGATACGGCGCCTTATCACGTCGTTGAGACGCCTCAAAGTGCTTCACAGAATATACTGTAAAGTGTAGTGACTGTGTACTTTGGGGGCGTCCCCACAAGCAGTCGTGGATTGAGTGACTAAATTATTTCTTTCTTTATTTATTTGTAGGAATTATTACTCCCAGAAAGCAATCCACCAATTAACTAGCAACCGGTGTTATTATTTACTGCCGGGTAAACAGAGGCGTGTGGAGTAAGGAAACTTGCTTGAGTTTCGTCCTGCCCGGGAATCGAACCCGGGTCCTCTCACTTGTGAGGCGAGCGCTCTAACCACTACACTGAGGGAATGGAAACTCTTCTTTTACTTGTGAGGCTGCAATTTCAACCGAACCTCTTTGTAAGCAACAGATGAGTCAATATACATTATACTATCCCTCTTTTATCTAATGTTCAGAGGCATAGACTTGGCGTCAAGTAAGGAATTATTGCTGTCTGCTTATACTAAAGGTGAAAGTCCCATGTGGATGAGATTATTGATGGTGCTTTGATGCCAAATGATTGTCAGCGTGAGTGGGCTCCTCGTTAAAAGATATTCATGTCCAGAGAAAGAAGAGAGAGAGAGAGAGAGATAGGAGGCAACAAAGAATGGGGAAAAAGAAACCTGAACCATTTGGAAACTAGATTATTTCTGGTTTATTTGAACAGCTTGCACAAAGCCTCACCTCCCCAGTACTCACCTTAAACCGACCTACCCCGAATCCAATTTAGATTATACTTCTTTAAGTCATGGTTTATTTATTGCAAGAAAAACGTCTCTGGTTAATGATACTCAGAGCAAAATCCAGGAGTATAAATAAATCATTCACTAACTGCTGAATCCCACAGCCTTGCCTCCCACCTTGCCCGCCATCTATTGGTTTCTCACAATAAATACATATGTTTAATCATCGTCTTCAGTATTGCATTGTCATTGAACTTAATGTCGGAAGCAAACAAGATAGATAGATTTCAACACAAACCACAGTCCATTTAAAAGCTACCTTTGCAAATCAGTCTTTTTTTTACACAGTTAAACAGTTATGCAGTTTTAAAAAATCACCTTCAGAATGACAAGCAGATCAGGAGTAATCTCTTTCGAAACACCTTCCTTTCTTCCTTGCATACACTTGGCGAAGGACAAACACAAGCATACAAGCTGAGATTGTGCGTCTGTCTCTGTTTGTGTGTGTGTGAGTTGCTCAGTTGCTGTGTGTCTCAGACTCTCTCTGCCTGTGAGTGTGTGTGTGAGTTGCTGTGTGTCTCGGTCTCTCTGTGCCTGTGAGTGAGTGTCTGTGTGTGTGTGTGTGTGTGTGAGTTGCTGGGACTTGGCGCTGTGGGACTATAAGCAATGAACACAAAGGTCGGGTTGGGTTTGGTGCAGAGCCAGCTGCTGACTGGGCTCCAGGTGATTTTACCGCAGTTTTCAACCTTCCCACAATGTCCCCAACTCACTGAACAGGCTGGCAATCCGGTTTACCTTCCCACATCACAGCCACCTGCACCTACACCTGCTCTATCATTGTATAGTTTATAATAATCATCATAATAATAATTCGCCCTGACCGATCGTAGAGGAAGGTCTTCAGTCGGGATCCAAAAGAGGGGAAGGCGGGGGCAAGGCGAGGGATTGGGGGAGAGAGTTCCAAAGCTTCGGGGCGTAGCGGCAGAAAGTGTAACTAGTGATGGTGGAGCGGAGAGGAGAGAACGAGGGACAAGCAGGAGGCCGGAGCCAGTCAAGCGGAGGCAGATAATATTGTAATAGTGATCTGCTGTATTTCCTAGTTTGTATTATATCATAGGACCATTTTAAAAGGGATCTTTTTTACCATTTGGGTAATGCTATTTTTATAAATGTGCCTGTTACGATACGCTTGTCTCCAGTCACATTTCGGCAGATCATTATCACTATATAATAATAATAATAATAATAATAATCCTTGCATTTGATATAGCGCTTTTCACGTCAGGAGGACGTCCCAAAGCGCTTCACAGAACACACTGTAAAGTGAATTGACTGTATATTTGTGGGCGAACGCGGCAGCCAATGGCGCACAGCAATGTCCCACAAACAGTCGTAGATTGAAAATGACCAATTTATTATTGGTTTTGGTATTGGAGGGATTATTATTAGGCTCTGTGTGGAGCTATAATATATATAATATAATATATATAATATGGTCACAGCATATTATACTGAATATCTTACTGTGTTGATAAGTGCTGCGTATCGCTTTCACATCTTTATAATGTTTTCTTCCGTTCATCCGTTCAAGCCAATCGACTAATAACTGAGTTACTATTTACTGCTGGGTAAACAGAGGAGTGTGTCTGTGGAATAAGAAAACTTGCCTAACATTTCACCCTGTCCAGGAATTGAACCCAGATCCTCTCGCTTGTGAAGCGAATCCTTTAACCACTGAGCTACAGGACTCCACAGGAAAATACTTTTCACATGTATTGTGAAATTCAATTCAACACTTCATCAGATAAGTGAGTCACTGCTTCTCGGCTTCATGAATCTTTACAAAGGTGAAAAGGTAAGTTTTTTTTATCCTGTTGTGGGAAACAATAAACGCACCTATTGCATGGCATATCACTGACAGATTAATCAACTTAATAAATTCTGTAAACCTACAAGTTCAGGATTGAATGGCATGTTGTTTAGGCCCTTGTGGAACACTTCTTCTATCATAAGTCTGATCCCAAACATGTGATATTAGTTAAACACTGTAATAATAGTGCTCAGCACCTTGGCACCTCCTTCCAAATACATGTAATTTGTTGTGGTAATCCCAGCACAAATTGACCTATTTATAATAATAATAATCCTTGTACTTGACACAGCATCGTATCACATCGAGGCGTCTTAAAGCGCTTCACAGAATATACTGTAAAGTGAATTGACTGTGTATTTTGTGCACGAAACACGGCAGCCAATTGCGCACAGCAGCGTCCCACAAACAGTCGTGGATTGAGTGACCACATTATTATTATATAAAATGTTTAAGTGATAATTATTAAAATGAAGGTCTCATGGTTCTGTTCTCTAGGTGGAACCCTAAAGGATCCCACGGTGCATTCACAAAGAGAAGGGAGTTTCTCTCAAAGTCTTTGTCAACAATCTTCCAGATAAATTGTGATTTCTGAGGTGTGAAAGGTGCTTTATAAATGCAACTTGCTATTGAAGTTGTTGTTAGACTTCACCTCAATTCACCTTACGGAACAATGCTGATGGTGAAATGGCTGCTGCATTTGCCTTTTAAATGGATTGGCTCATGCCAGCACCTCAGTAACTCAGGCTCTGGGAGCATCACCCTCCATGGTTGCACGCTACAACTCACCGCCAGTCAGGAACCTCGGTGTCTTGTTCAACCCTCAACTTTCTTTTCTCCCCCACATTCAAGCCATGACCTGCTCTGCCTTCCCTCACCCCCGGAACATCGCCCGACTCCGCCACTACCTCACCCCTCAGGCGCTGAAACTCTTGTTCGTGCCTTCATCACCTCCAGGCTCGACTATGTAAACTGCTTGTCGGCCTTCCCAACTCCTCCCTCCACAGCTGCAGATAATCCAGAACTCTGCAGCCCATGTCCTCTCCCGCACCAAACTCCGTGACTCCATCTCCCCACTCTTGCCCGACTCCATTGGCTCCCTATCCTTCAGAGGATCCAGTTCAAGATCCTGGTCCTCCATGGCCTCGCCCCACCCTACCTCTGCCACCTCCTAACCCCCTATCAACCCGCCCGCTCCCTCCGCTCAGCCGGCTTTGGCTTCTCCACATCACCCGACCCACCCGCCCCACCATTGGCGAGAGAACCTTCAGCCATTCTGCCCCCAACCTCTGGAACTCCATCCCCCAGTCACTCCGCCTCGCCCCCTCCTTAGTCTCCTTCAAGTCCCGCCTCAAGACCCACCTCTTCAACCATGCCATCGGCCATTTCCCTCCCCCCGACCCTAGCTCAGTTCTGAAACACTGTTCACTGTCCAGCACCTTGGGACGTCCTCCCGACGTGAAAGGTGCAATACATATATAATTTTGTTGTTGTTGTTGTTAAATCATTAGCGTTGAAAGTAATTGCTGAAAAGCGTGTTGAGAAATTTCAACATGGCTAGACAAGTAACATACTATAGAAATCCCAAACTCCTTTCTCTCCTCTAAATAGCCCCACAACAGCCTGTGAATGACTGTATACTGCCACCTATAGAGAGAAAAAGAAAGTCTGAGTCATCAAAAGAGGTCCACAAAATATTTTATTTTGCCCAGTCAGGGAAACCCATCACCATTGCTTAGGAGTCTCCAAACTAACTAACTAACTATTTAACCAACCAACCAACCCTGTAGGGAATTACAGGCCAGTCAGCCTAACATCAGTAGTGGGGAAACTCCTGGAGACTATAATCCGGGACAGAATAAATCTTCACTTAGAAGAATATGGGTTAATTAGGGACAGACAGCACCGATTTGTTAAAGGCAAATCTTGTCTAACAAATCTAATAGAATTTTTCGATGAGGTAACGGAGAGGGGATAAAGGTAGTGCAGTTGATGTAGTTTATATGGACTTTCAAAAGGCATTTGACAAAGTGCCACATGAAAGACTTGTAAGAAAGATAGAAGTCCACGGTATAAAAGGGACAGTGGCAGCGGATCCAGAACTGACTGGGAGACAGAAAGCAGAGAGTTGTGGTGAACGGCTGCTTTTCTGACTGGAGGGAAGTGTACAGTGGCATCCCCCAGGGATCGGTATTAGGACCACTGCTCTTCTTAATATACATAAATAATCTGGATTTGGGTATAGCAAATACCATTTCCAAGTTTGCGGACGACACAAAGTTAGGGAGGGGGTAAACAGTGAGAAGGATAGGAATCAACTGCAGGAAGACATAGACAGATGGTAAAATGGGCGACACATGGCAGATGAGTTTCAATGTGGGGAAATGCGAAATAATGCATTTTGGTAGAAAGAATGTGGGGCAATATAGGCGGTAATACAATCTTAAGGGGAGTGAAGGAACAGAGGGACCTGGGGGGGCAGGTAACTGAATCCTTGATGGTGGCAGGACAGGCAGATACAGCTGTAAAACGGGCATATGGGATTCTAGGCTTTATAAATAGGGGCATAGAGTACAAGAGTCAGGAGGTGATGATTAACCCATATAAACACTGGTTAGGCCTCAGTTAGAATACTGCGCCCAGTTCTGGGCCCCACACTATAGGAAGGATGTTAAGGAGATTTACGAGGATGGTACCAGGAATGAGGGACCGTGATGATGAGGAAAGGCTGGAGAGGTTGGGATTATTCTCATTGGAGCAGAGAAGGTTATGAGGACCTAATAGAGGTCTTCAAAAATCATGAGGGGATTTGATAGGTTAAAAAGGGACAAACTGTGTCCACTGGTGGGTGTGTCGGTGACTCGAGGTCACAGATTCAAAATAGTCTCTAAAAGAAGCCGAGCGGAGAGGTGAGAAGAAATGTTTTTACGTAGCGAGTTGTTGGAATCTGGAACATTGCCTGAAAGGGCGGTTGAGGCCGATTCGATAACTACTTTTAAAAACGCGGTGGACGGGTATTTGAGGAGGACGGGTTTGCGGGTTATGGGGAAAGGGCCGGGAGTGGGATTGACACTACATTGCTCTATTCAAAGAGCCGCAGAGACTCGATGGGCCGAATGGCCTCTTTTTGTGCTGTACGATTCAATGATTCTATTCTACGGTTCTAAATTGGTCACTTCAACCCACGGCTGTGTGTGGGACGGACGCCGCTGCGCGCAATTGGCCGCCGCGTTTCGCCCACAAAATACACAGTCGATTCGCTTTGCGGTGTGTATCCTGTGAAGCGCTTTGAGACGTGTTGGAGATGCGATGAGAGGCGCTGTAGCAAATGGAAGGATTATTATTATTAGAATTATTATCATATGTCTTCAAAAAATGATGAGTGGTGTTCTTTAGATGAGATAACAGCGCAGCTGAGAAACAAGCCATCTCGGTGACTGACTCTGGACGGTTTATATCCAATAACAAGGATTATTATTGTTATTATACTATATTGTGAACCTGTGGATTATATTGTTTATTGGGTACAAACAGGTGATGGAATGTGTGTGGGGGGGAGTGACGTCACACGGAGGCGGCCATGTTGTGGTGTGTGGGCGGGGGGAGTGACGTCACACGGAGGCGCCCCTGTTGTGGCGTGGGGGGAAGTGACGTCACGCGGAGGCGGCCCTGTTGTGGTGTGGGGGGAAGTGACGTCACGCGGAGGCGGGCCTGTTGTGGTGTGGGGGGGAAGTGACGTCACGCGGAGGCGGCCCTGTTGTGTGAGGCCGTTTCCCGTCATGCTCGGCGGCTGATGGCGGCGGTTGGTGCTGAGGCTCGAGCTCAGGGCTGAGTCGCGGCGGCGCTTCATTAGTCTTCTTTATTGAGGTTATTTTGAGGGGAAAAAAGAAACTATTAAAAGTCGGCGGATCGCGGGCGGGAAATGTTTATTATTGTCTGAGGAGAGAGAGAGAGAGAGAGAGACGGAAGGGAAAAGGAAGGGATTTGGTGATTTGTTTTCAATTTAGTTCGAGGGGTAGAGAGAGAGAGGGAGAGTAGGGGAGAGAGAGGGGTAGAGAGGGAGAGGGGGGGAGAGAGAGAGAGGGGGGGGAGAGAGAGGGGGGGGTGAGGGGGTAGAGAGGGGGGGGGAGAGAGAGGGGAGGGAGAGGGGAGAGAGGAAGAAGGGACACTGAGAGGAGGGAGGGAGGGAAAGGGAAGAGAGAGAGAAGATGAAGCTGTTCTCCGAGGCCCACAAGACGGTGTTTGTGGTGGATCACTGCCCCTACATGTCCGAGTCCTGCCGCCAGACAGTGGAGTTTGACATGTTCACCAAGAACCGGGCCCCCGGCATCATCCCCCTGGCCCCCATCTCCAAGTCCCTCTGGACCTGCGCCGTGGAGTCCGCCATGGAGTACTGTAGGATCATGTACGACATCTTCCCAGCCAGGAAACAGGTGAGAAACATGCCTCTCAACCCTCCCTCTCCCCCATCCCTCTGATTTCCCCCCATCTCCCCCCTCCTCTTTACAATTCAGTCCAGGACCAGAATCCCCGCTGTCATCTTCGTCAGTCCGGCTGGGAACTCTTTGGATTGCCAAGAGTTTATTATTCCATTTCTGGTGAGATGAGCGGAGCTGCAGACTCGGCCAAGTACCATTTATTTTCTTCCAACTGGAGCAGATAGCCTTCAACATCTATTGATCTCCCACCCCCCCGCCCGCCCCCAGGCCGGTCAAAGCCAAGGCACACAGTCACCACACTTTACAATATATCCCATAATAATGATAAAATGATAATAAAGATTGCATTTGGGCCTGTTTGAGTGAGGTTAACATTCAAATATTGGCCACGGTAAGATAGTTTCAATGTTAGAACAATACAGTATTACAGTATTTGCTTGTGATAGAAGCTATGAACTCTTGTTGGTTCGCAACATATTGTACCAGATGTCAATGGTTGAAGTCAATGATGATGTAAGATTCTATATTATCTTGGATTTACTTTCTTTCCAACTGAGTTCAGGATACTGAACGCATCGAACAATATTCAACAATATTCTAATTCAGCGCAACCAAACATTCTTATGAGCCCTTCCAACAAAGTTGTACGTGATATTTGATTGATGTTTTTGCTTTCTCATGTGTTTCAGCCTGCAATGATAAACAATATGATGTCAGCACCTCGAGACCACAAGTTGCTCACAGTTGCTCCAAAGCAATTAATGGGTTCCACCAGGGTAAGGAAAAATGTCCATTGGGAATGTGTTGCTGTGTATATCAGCCAGAATAATTGAGCAAAAAAGTTAGGAACTTGCACGACTTGTAATGTTTCCCTTGCCTAACAGGACACCGCACAGGCTTTTCCCCCTCTTCTCTCATCTCCATCCTTTCCCAAATGAAGCCCACTACCTGCTCCTTGACCCCATTCCTAACCTTCACCTTATCTCTCAGCTCCATCTCCTTGTTCCCGACTAACAGACATCGTGAACATCTCTCTGTCTCATGGCACTGCTCCCACCCTCCCCTTAAAAAATGCTGTAATTAACCCCATCCTAAAAAAACCTTCCCTTGACACATTTCTCTTCTCAAACCACCATCTTCTTTATTTCCAAGTTCCTGGAACGCGTCGTTGCTTCTCATCTCCTAGCTTTTCTCTCCTGCCACTCCTTGTGTGAACTTCTCAAGTATTGTGCTTCCCGCCCCCAGAAAAAAATTCATCCATTAAAGTTAGCATTTTCTCATGTTTACATGGACTTCTGTAGCTCAGTCGTTAGAGCACTCACCTCACAAGCAAGAGACCTGGGTTTGATTCCCGGCAGGGCGAAACCTTGGGCCAGTTTCGTTGCTCCACACCTCGGATAATAATCCCTCAAGAAGAAAAAAATAATAAATGAGTCACTTCAATCCACGACTGTTTGTGGGACCCTGCTGTACGCAATTGGCTGCCGCGTTTTGCCCCCAAAATATACGGTCAATTCACTTTACAGCATATTCTGTGAAGCGCCTTGAGACGTCTAGAAGACGTGAAAAGCGCAACAACAACAACAAAATTACATTTATAGAGCACCTTTCATATCGAGAGGACGTCCCAAAGTGCTGAATAGTCAGTTGTCGGGGCCCGAGCATCGAGGAGCAGTGATGTCGGGGTGAGGGAAGGCAGAGAGGTGGGAGGGTGACCAAAAGCATGATCGAAGAGAAGGGTCTTGAGACTGTCATTGAAGGAGGCAAGGGAGGAAGCGAGGCGAAGGGACTGTGGGATGGAGTTCCATATCGAATGCAAGGATCATTATTTGTATTTTCCAGATCTAGTTGTGTGTCGTCCATCAGCCTTATTAAAATAGTAATTGGTTTACATGGAAAACTCACACTAAGATTTGCATCAACTCATAACTTCTCTTAGTAGAGCCTGCATTTGTTTAGGGATTACTTAGTGTACTGTGGACCTTTGCTAACTGGAAGTGTGGTATACCCACTTTTTGGGCATTCACTGGACCACTTGCTCACACTAAAAAATGGCTGTCTGAGAAAGGAGTTTTTTTTCCCTGTGTTTTGGCCAACAATCCCTCAAATACAATTGGTCATTCATTTCATGATTGTTTTTGGAACATTGCAGTGTGCAATTGGGCTGTCACATTCAACTATAAATACGCAACTGCTGACTCCATTTCGCTAGAACCATTTGAAGTGCTTTGGGATGCCCTCCCAACGGGAAAGGCGCTATTCCAAATGCAAGGATTATTTGCAATAGTGGTCACTACATAGCCATCGGTAGCCAGACCATGGATGATTTTCTTTTTGGTGCCATTGTTATTGCTGGGACTTCTGCCTTGGCTAAGATCAGTTGACCCAGCACAGACTAAGGATTGAAGCTTCAGCACAGATTCAGTGGGCTGAATATCCTCCTACTGTTCCTGTTTCCATATGTTCGTTCCTAAGGTTTTTTTCACTCCAGTTAACTGAATCATCAGCCATAAAGTGATATCTCATGCAAAAAACACTGTTTTAACCTCTTTGCACTTCGTATTCATCATCGCTTTTCCAAAGACTTGAGATATTTTAATAATGGTAATCCTTACCTTGTCACTTCAGCAGGACATGTCAAAGCAATTTACAGGATTTATTATGAAGTTCCGTGACTGTGTATTGTGTAGGCGAATGTGGCATCCAATGTCCCACAAACAGCCATAAAGTGGGTGTAGCACAGTGTGACTCTAGGAAATTAAATGAATTCCAGCTAACTTATAAAGATATTTTGATATTAGTGCTGAAGACAGTTCTGGTAAGAACATGTTGACAATCCACAGGTAGGGAACATTTGAAAGAAATTTGAATTCATCTCCACATGGTGTGAGGTATATTCTGCGAGGTGGATTGTGCAACATAACTGAATATTAGATGCCAAGTACTCCATCACATCAATGTTTTGTGAAGTAAAGTGTAAATTTCACAACTGGACTTGAGCTAAATTGCATTTGCCCTAGGCTTTAAAAGTTACAATTGACTAAAACGTCAAAATAGTAGTGCTTCTGTTTCTTTATTCCTTGGTTGATTGTTTTCATAGGTAAATTTCATTGTAAGTGACTCAAGAGCACATACCCTGAATTCTTGGAGTCAAGAAGATCAGAACTTGCAGGAGGTAAGAAAACCTGTATCAACATGTACACTAGGATTTAAATGGGTGTAGTTGTAAACACCTCCACCACATCCTTTATTTTCTTAAGTAATTATTTGGGGAAAGTTTCAAACAACTGTAATTATTCTATCCAGTGTGAGATTCCAATCTCAAATGAAGATAATGATGGAATTTTTGACTGAATATCCTCTGGAAATTTTACAATGTTTATGCCATATTGGTGTTGCTGTCTTGCTGTCCCCGCCAACAAAGAATAGATGATATAATTTCAGCAAATTTGTGTTCAGATGCCATTTGGGATTAAAAGAGGGAAAAGTATGACCATAGTGTGTTTAATTTTAGCAACGATTACAGTAAAATTACTTAATGTAGTAAATCAAACAATTGTTAAACTGTGTTGCTGGAGAGTACCTAATTGGAGTTTGTGTTGATATAAAATGTTTTATATCAGCTTTATGTACTGCAGTGTGTGCAGTCATGAAAGCTACTTAGTAGTAACTGAATGGCAGACCATTTGATTACTCAGTATGTGAAGACCTCTTTCTGTAAGATTGTATTGCAACTTCCAGTTTCTCTTGAGCTTTTATGCTCAAACAATATTTTCAAAGAGCAATCAGTGTTTGAGTGCGTAATGATAATGTCATTATTGTATGCAGCTATTCAGTGCGATTTCAAAAATCTGCTCTGTCACAGACTATATGTTGATGACATATAACACAGTTTCAATATGTGAATTTTTCAAATGTATTTTACCATTCCCTTGAATGGGCAGATGAATGCCTAAATCACTTCTGAATCAAGTAAAGATCTTAAATCTGGTAGAATTTCTATCATGTCTGTCTGCAAGCTGAAATAGACATTATTTGTGTCACAGCTGATGGCAGCTTTAGCAGCTGTGGGCCCTCCCAACCCTCGCATGGACCCAGAGTGCTGCAGTGTGCTACATGGCTTAGTTGAGGCAGTGGAAGTCCTGTGTAAATGTACAGATTATCAGCATGAAGCTCGTACCACCCTAATGGAGAATGCAGACCGTGTCAGCAACAGGGGCCGCATCATCTGTATAACTAACGCCAAAAGGTACAATACTTGGTGTAATGTGGTGTATGCTTGTCTTCATTTCAGTTTCCTTACTCCGCTCCCCCTAGCAGTAAGTCGGAACTCAGTTGTTAGTCGATGGGCGGATCGCTTTCCCGGGGTAATAATCCCTTCAAAAGAAAATAAATAATAATAATTTAATGCATGCTTGCTTCTCTCGTGTCCATCAAGGATCACAGTGTGATCTCACATAACTCAGCTAAACACGGCCACAGTTTAACTGCCTGAGGCAATGATCTGATGTGACTCTGGTTGATCCAGCAATCTGCTATTAGAGTTATGGAAAATGACCCCTGGATAATGCTTTTAAAATACCACCACCCGTTGTCAAAAATCCGAAAGCATTTATAACAATCTTACAAATTGATTTTAATATATAAATATTTTTTCTGCAGTTTTATATATTGTTGCAATAGATTGCACTATATCACAAAAATACTGTTCTATAAATAATAACTTGCCTTTATAATAAGGCCTTTCACATCAAAGCCTTGAAGTGCTTTACAAAATGTAATGGATTAGAAATGAAAGTGAATATTGTTACATAGGCAAATGTGGCTGCTAACTGCGCCAGCAATATTGCATAAACAAAAGATGATCAGACAGTTAATTTGTATTGGCATAAATTTGTAAATGTAAATTTACAATTTTTATAAGTACTGTCTTGGCAGTATTTCTGGATTATCTAATTTAATAGTTTAATAATAATCCTTACATTTGGTATAGTGCCTTATCTTGTCAGCAAGATGTCTCAAAGCGCTCATGTTATTAAATTTGTTCTGATTTAATTCTTATTCTAATGCATTTTTTAATCTAAAATTTGTCTCGCAGTGACAGCCATGTCCGAATGCTGGAAGATTGTGTCCAAGAGACGATCCATGAGCACAATAAGTTGGCAGCGAGTTCTGATCAGTAAGTTTGAGCATATTTTTCTGTAAAGAAAAATTTCCGAAGAGGCGAGTGAGAAAAGATTTCATCACTTGGTTGATTTTGCTGAGTATCAACCGTTTCTTTCAGCTTAATGCAGGTTCAGCACTGTGAGCTGGTCTTAATCCACACCTACACTGTGGGAGAAGATAGTATGGTTTCAGATCGTCCCAGGAAAGATGTGAGTTCTCTCTAGTTTTATAAGCAGTACGTGAATGTGACGTTATTCGTAAAATTGTATAAATTGCAATGCAGGAGAACAATGAACCTTTTTGTTAACCTACTGCTAACAGTATTTATGTTTCACATAAGTCATACTTTGCATAAGTGAAAAGAAATCCTTGCAATTGATATAGCATCTTATATTGAGACGTCTCAAAAGTGCTTCACAGAATATACTGTAAAGTGAGTTGACTGAATATACTGTAAAGAAACAAAATCATTACATCTCAGCAATTATATCATTAGTAATTACATTAGTAATTCTAATTACACATAATTCAATGTTTTATACTCCCAAGTAAATAAAATAGACTTCCAAAGTAATTGTAAATTATTTTTAAAAAAGACATAAAATTATTGATATTTTTATGGCAAAGATTCTAAATTCAGCACTAGTTGTAAACTTGTAGACCTATAAGTTTCTTTTTTATCACCTTGTCTAAATTGATTCTTGTAGATTTCTTCGGTCTTAACAAGTGAAGTGCACAGTGTACGGGCTGGAAGGCAGTTACCCGCAAAACTCACCACACTTGTCCAGCAGCACTTTGATCTGGCTTCAACCACAATCACTAATATCCCTATGAAGGTATGTATTTGCGTTGCAATGTGTTTTTACCAGTAGAGTACAGCATCTGATTATTTTTTCTTATTTTTTAGTTTTGTGAAAATTCAAAATTTTTCAAAGTAATTTGAAAATTATTTTCTCTCCATATCATATTTCTGTTTGCTAGCCCACATTCAGTGTCAGTGAACAGGTTAGTAAATTTGAATTTAAAATAGATCATAGATCATGAAAATTGATCGAAAGGTTATATTGCATTTAAGTGTGCAATATAATCGCAAGAATGTTTTGTTTTCAGTAGTTACTGCTTTTCAATTTTGCAATCACTTTGAAACTGTCCGTTTTGTATTAAGTTACCCTATGATCCTCTGTATAATCCTGTTGCTAAAAACGATCCCTTGTATGTGAACCATTCTTTCCATCATCTGTGTTTTTATATATCTACCCACCACAGTATTTGTGTGGCATGTGATAATGTATTTGCTATAATTTTAACTTAAAAAAAAAATTCTATGCAATGAGCAGAAATGTAAATGATTAAAATAATATTTTAAAAACAGTATTTTAAATTTTTTTAACCAAAGTCACATTTTAACAGTGCAAGTTTGTACGACCTGGTATTTATATTAATGTTTCGTTTTTTTTAATGTTACCATTCTGAGGAACATACACTGAAATAATTTGTAGTGGAGTTTTCTCTGTGGTACTTTTTGATTGATAATGTAAATTGGGGGGGGGGTGAGTTTTCAGGAGTAAACTGAGAATATAATTACATTTTTTTAAAAACAAATACACTATTCAAGTGGGTTGACAGTGTTACTGTAAATTTCCCACAGCAATCAAAGGACCACAGTAACTTAATGATTAGCACTTATACATTAGCAAAATGGTCCCACGACTCTGTGAGGCAATAAACAACATCATTCTTATGTTCTTAAACGATCATTCTTCATTGCATGGATGTGCATCATAAATCCTTTTTACTGGCTTTTTCAGAGTTTCACTAAAAATAAAAAGTTGAGTTGTGCAAGGAAATAAAATGATTTTCAGTGACTGCCCCAGTAACAATAGAACCACGTAGAAAAGTTTATAAGCGTAGCAACTTGGAAATTCTTGAATGTACACTAAATAGCACTCCAGAGGCAATTCAAATAATATTCAGTGACATGTTAATCAATCCAGTGCAGTTCTTCAAAAAATACTACAAGAATCTTTAATGTTCTAAACTGATTCAGACAGACCATACCTTGGGAGAAATCTAGGGTTTCTGTTAATTGTTTTTGTCAGAAAACAAGTTAGAGGAAGCCTTGGCCTTATTTCAAATAACATTGAATCAGAATTCAAATACTGTAAGAGATCTTCATAACCTGATGCAAGGTCTTTAGTAAAGATTTTAAGTATTTTTTAGATTTATCATAATTTACTAAATTGATCTTCGCTGTGAGCTCTTTTTTCATAGCAATCACAAATAAAACCGATAAAGCTTTAATGCTTTTGCATTGTACGTAATACTATTTTGTAGACACGTTCATGTGCAGAAAGTAATTGACTTATAATATTGCTAGTTTCTCGGGCTTCCAAGTGCATTCAATTATAGTTTTAAATAATCCAAAGTGATATTAATTGATGGGTTCCACAGTCACAAGTTAAACCTCAGTTTTTTTATTCCTTTTTGGATAGTTGAAAATAAGGTACTGTAGATGTGATGATTATTCCTCGACTTGAAGATATTCATGTGCAATTGATGCTTTGATTGTTCTTCATTTAAAGGAAGAACAACATGCAAATACATCTGCAAATTATGATGTGGAGCTTCTTCATCAAAAAGATGCTCACACTGAACTTTTAAAAAATGGTATGTATCAGACTATAGTTTTCATCAGGGAAATTATGACAAATGTTAATATGAAATTCAGTAAAGCAGTAAGATTCAATGTAAAATAATAATCTTTGCATTTGATAGAGCACCTTATCACATCTTCGTGACATCTCAAAGTGCTTCACAGAATATACTGTAAAGTGTATTTTGTGGGCAAAACACAGCAGCCAATTGCACTACAATCTGTGGAGTCCTGTAGCTCAGTGGTTAGAGCACTCACTTTGCAAGCGAGAGATCTGAGTTCAATTCCAGGCAGAGGGCGAAATCCTTACCCCACACGCCTAATAATAATCCCTCCAAAACAAAACAATAATAAATTGGTCATTTTCAATCTACGACTGTTTGTGGGACATTGCTGTGCGCAATTGGCTGCCGCGTTCGCCCACAAATATACAGTCAATTCACTTTACAGTATATTCTGTGAAGCGCTTTGAGACGTCTAGAAGACGTAAAAAGCGCTATATCAAATGCAAAGATTATTATTATGAAGCGTTTGAGACATCTCAAAGACGTGATAAGCGCCATATCAAATGCAAGGATTGTTGTCATAGAAAAGTTAATTTTGCGACTTCTTTTCAGCCAATCAAGAGCCAAACATATGTGGGTCCTATCTCCAGAACGGAGGGCAGAGGCACAGTAAGAAAGGTAAGGGTTACATTTTAAATGTAATCAACAGGAAATATTAATTCGAAAATGGCATAATACATGAATGAATCAAAGTTGAATAGAAAATGAAGAAGATAAGAGTCGGTGTAGTTAGAAAAGAATAGCTAAAATAAGATCTACAAAAACATTTGGCTAGTATGTTAATGTAAAATGATTTAAAATAATTTGAAAGCATTAGCATCTACTCAGAAGAATAAGGCTATTAACAAAGCTGAGGTGTCAACAATAACATCTGATGTTTTTTCTTTGATGCTGACCGTTGTTTCTTTCTGTTCACAGAAGGCAAGACCATTGCAGCGCTAACATGTATGCCACATTTTATTATTCTTGAATTGGTTGATTTTATACAATATGATTAAACAAATATTTTTGGCTTTTCACTGAGCATTGTATCAGCAAAATCAGTCCAGTGACTCGAGAGAGAACCCTGGAGTGTATGAAAGACACAAAACAAGGTGGCATGTCTATGAAAAATTAATTCTAAACTTTGGACTTTAATCTACTAATGATAACTTTTTTTGCACTTCATTTGAAAAGATTTTATATCCTTTCTTGCCACTCTTGCCCCCCACCCACCCAAAATAAATCCTCCCAAAATAGGTGCCAATTCCCTCCGAGCAGCAGGAGTTTAACTTTGCAAGGAAGATAGAATTAACTGACGAACTGTCATCTTCTATCATCTTCTATCATCCTTGTTAATTTTGTCCAACATGTAGTAAATTGCCTCCCATTGTAGAGATTCAAATGAAAGTTGAGGCACAGACCTCCACTGATGGCCTACAAAATGCAGGGTGGGCCAACTGGGAGGCCACATCCAGCCTGCGGGGAGATTTCAGCCTCGCCTCCCTCTCCCTTTCCCCCGCTACATTTCATCTGGCCCACTCGCTCCTCCTATAACCTGTAAATGTTATGTTTCTGGAAGGGAAACACGAAAATATTGTTTATGCGGCCATGTACATTTTCCTCAAAGTTGAATTGAACATTATTTGTACAACATTTTTTAAAGGACAACTTAGGGTTACGGTTTAAATTTAGTGCTTCAAAATGATTACATTTGATTGAATTGAAATTAGAAGTTTGCTTATATGTTTCTCAAATATATAGGGTATCCGGCCCTCCAGCCAAAAGGTTGGACTCCGCTGACCTAATGGATTAAAAACTCCTGAACGATTGCAGTGTAATGAGCCAGCTGATCTCAGCCAGGCCAGTGGTCAGGATGACACTGGGCCTCTACCTCTGGCCTCGGGAGGGAAAACTCAAATTGGATCAGGCTCGAGTGTGATTGTTCCCACGGGTGAATGGTTCACAATTTGAGAGCGCTCGATCGTTGGCTTGCGGGCTTTTCCCCCACTTAATGGCAGTGTGGCATCATCAGCTCCTTCCCATTTCTCACTGGGCCACACGCGGAGCCGAGACACCAGCCCTCATGCCTTAGCTTCAGCTGCCCACAAGATGGCAGGATCCAGCAAGCTGGTGCTGACTCTCCAATTGTTTCCTGCAGATTTCCCTCTGAAAACCACCAGGCGTGTGTCTTGAAGTCAGGAACTTAATCCGGGGGGTGGGGGGAATCCAATTGATGTTCCTACATTCAATGACTATTTCAAGCATGTATGTTTTCTACGAAGTTGAATTGAACTTTATGTACAACGTTTTTTAAAGGACAACTTAATCAGGGTTACAGTTTAAATTTAGTGCTTCAAGATGATTACGTTTGATTGAATTGAAATTAAAAGTTTGCTTATTATAAGGGATGAAGATAACAAATTGTGCTGTTACCTCGATCTGATATTTCTCTGTTAGCGTACTTGTTTCTGCCGACTGAACCTGATATTAATTCTGGTGAAAAAAATGCTTCTGTAGTTAATATTAGAATCCTTCATCTCTTTGAATAGTTATACACATTAGTAGTAACTATACAACAGTTGATTCCATAGTAAATGCAGTATCACTTTGTGCAGTTTGAATAAATCCTGGAATATACTAAATAAAATAAAATAAAAAAAGCATAATAACTTGCCCCCAAAATATACAGTCAATTCACTTTATAATTTATTCTGTAAAGCGCTTTGAGACGTCTCGAAGACGTGATAAGGTGCTGTATCAAATGCAAGGATTATTATGTATGTGAAATAGAATGAAATTTATAGATGTGAATTGTGGTACTAGTAATATCTGGTGTATCTAAATTTCAAGAAACTGTTAAAACAAAATTATGATGCTATATTAAAGCAAAATGCACACTCTATTTTCAAATACCTGATTCTTGTGGTTGTATTGAAGAAACATGCGACTCAAGCATGCATAATCAACAATAATTTGCCATCTACATGTCTTGAGCATCTCGGTCTTTAGTCAGTGTTTGAGTATAGTTCTGGTAATTTTTAATTTCGATTGTCAGTACTTTCAATCAAAAGGAAGCAGTACATTCTGTGAAGCGCTTTGAGACATCTCAATGACTTGATAAGGCACTATACCACATGCAAGGATTCTCATTATTACTTTTCGATTTCAGTGTTTGAATTCTACCCGATAAGAAGGAAAATCTTAATACAGTATTACTTCTTTTGACATTTGTAGGTGACCACGTCAAAGGAAAAAAAGGTAGTGTAACTTGGTGCTTTATTTAACAGGTGTAGAAATTTTAAAATAACTTAACAGCATAAATTATTAGGGTTGAACTCTGGTGCTAGGAAGCGAAGGAATACCCTAAGAAGATTTGAATTTTCTGGGTATATAAATCACAAGTGTGTCACATTATTCAGTTCTAAATAACAGACCTTGACAGAAAGCCCTATTGCTTCTATGTGATTCGGTGAAATTCCTTTATTTCCTTTATTTTAAATATGAAAATTAAAATAAAGTATTAGTTTAGTTTTAACTTGATTTTAAACAGCACCAACGTCCATATGGTCACCGGTTTTAAAAGTACAGATTTATATATCGTGCGGATCATTTTTAGTTAGATTCACGCTGCATTCATCATACTAGAAACATTGTGCCATTGCACAGTGCACGGTGTAGACTGCTTTGATTCCAATGAGACATAATCAATTTAAATTACTGTGTGGATTGTTAATCCAATTTACTTTCTGTGGCTTCCTAAATTTCGTCAATTCTCTTGATTCATGAGGTGGAGTACCACATATATTTAGCAGTAGCCAAGGCAAGAGCTGAGGAAGCTTGCTTGATTGAATCTTGCTCACTGCTCAAAGAGCAATGCTGCAAGTTGCAAAACTGCTGTTCTTGTGGCGGCAAATGGGGATTTGTAAGCACGTTAAATAAGTTTATCTGTTTAAAGTACAAACAAAGGCTTAATGTTTAAACTCATGGTCATTATTGCATCTTTCGAAGTTGCTGATATTGTATACAAAATTTAGCACCAATTTGTATCCTATTTATTGAACTATAAACCTGCTTGAAATTGAATTTGACTACAATCAAGTTACGGTTGAATTGTAATAGAGATGTCATATGAAAAGTTGGAAGGATATTATTCCAGTTGCAACAACAGCAACAACTTGCACTTATACAGCACCCTCCAGGCAAGGTAGCGTCTCAGAGCGCTTAACAGTGGCGGAGCCTGACTCCGAGCCAGGGGGAACGTGGGGCATGGTGAGCATGGTCGAAGTAAAAGGTTTTCAGGCTTATACAGTAATTTACAGTATATACAAATCCTCTTTTATACTGAAATATCAGTCTGCACTAAATATTCTAAATGTAGCTTTTCCCCCCCCAAAAACGAAAGGATTTTTTTTGTTTTATTTTGCAGGTGATCCCCATATTGTGTGCAGTAATAGTCGAGATGGTCCGGTCAAAGACACAGTCACATTAAAGTGGTGCACTCCCCGCACCAATAACGTTGGTAAGTAATGTTAAGTAATAATCCTTCAAAAAAAAAATGCTCACTTCAATCCACAACTGTTTGTGGGGACGCTGCTGTGCACAATTGGCTTCCGCATTTCACCCACAAAATACACAGTCAATTCACTTTACAGTATATTCTGTGAAGCGCTTGAGACGTCTCGAAGATGTGATAAGGCGCTGTATCAAAGGCCGGAGTCTGTAGCTCAGTGGTTAGAGCACTCGCCTTCCTAGTGAGAGACCTGGGTTTGATTCCCAGCAGGCCGAAACCTTAAGCAAGTTTCCTTACTCCACACACACACACACACACACACACACACACCTATGTTTACCTCGTAGTAAGTAGTCACCCGATTATTAGTCGATTGGCAGATCGCTTTTCCAGGAGTAATAATACCCTCAAAAAAATAAAAATCGTAATTTGGTCACTCAAATCACAACTGTTTGTGGGACGCTGCTGTGCACAATTGGCTGCCGTGTTTCACCCCCAGATATCCAGTCAGTTCACTTCACAGTATATTCTATGAAGCATTTTGAGAGTCTCGACGACGTGAAAAGCGCTATGTCAAATTCAAGGACTATTATTATATAATGCAAGGATTATTTACCACAAGTGAATTTCCAAAGGTACGAAGCCTTGGCTTTCATCAGTGACACAAAGTGCACCTTGTATTGCAACTTCCAACTTCCTGTATAATAAGTTGCTAATGCTAATGTGATTTTTATTTCTTTCAGAGTTACATTATTGCACAGGAGCATATAGAATTTCACCTGTCGATGTAAACAGTCGACCATCTTCTTGCCTTACAAACTTTTTACTAAACGGTGTGTATTTTTGTACCGTTAGATATTTCACATTGAATGTATAATATCACATGGCGTGTGTTATGTTGTGTTCTTAAAGGTGATATAGTTCTAAATACAGCTTTCATCTCCAAATTTTCCCCCTACCAAATAATTGGGATGATGTTGCATTTATTTATGAATGAATGATTACTTTTGGATATGGTTTTGCAATGAGACTTTAGTGAGTGGAAAGTGGGTTAAACACTTTATAGCAATATGACCTAACAGCCCAATTACATGGATGATTATGTATACTATATATACCCTATATATATTATATATATTCGCGTTCGCCCACAAATATACAGTCAATTCACTTTACAGTGTGTTCTGTGAAGCGCTTTGGGACGTCCTGACGTGAAAAGCGCTATATCAAATGCAAGGATTATTATTATTATTATTATGTATTTTCTGAAGACACAGTGCATATTTGTGAAACTGCTATGCTTTCTACTAGGACGTTTCAGTAGAACCAAGATGAAATATGAACATCCCCAAATGCAAAGTTATTTCCTATAAGTTCATTATAGTAATGTAATGAAACTATATCCACCACTGCTTAAATGTTTTCTATTGTCAGACAAGTTTTAGGTCTGAAATAAAAGCTAACAGTCCTTTCCTCTCCACTTATGTCAACTATTTCCACTCGCTTGCCAATCTGGTAACTGATCAAACCCCTATTTTACAATGAAAGCTGTGACTAATTTAAAATTGTACCACAGTAATTTTTTGAAAACAGTGTTGGCATCAGGTCACCTGCCAGCCTGATCAGGACTATTGTACAGTACCAGGTGCCATGGAAACAACATAGTCAGGCCAATATTCAGCAGAAGTCTTGAGAAGATGTATGTTTTTTCCTTCCGATGTGAATTCTCCCAATTCAGCACATCTCTTTTGGATAAAATGCAAGTATAGATTAAGTTGCTCGCTGTTGAAGATGTGTTGTGGTTTTTGCCTTTGATGCTCTTGGTAGCAAAGATGGGTTAGAATTTCTGACTACAACAGTCGTCCTTTTAATCAAATGATGCTAGATATGCTTCTTGGTCTGAAAGAATGATGTTTACAATGGTCTGCTACATTGAACTTGTCCTATAATTCATCTAAGAATTGATTGTAGCTCTAATATTTTGATGGGAGGTCAATAAATGGTAGAAGATTATTTTGATTTATGATGATTTCATCTGTGATGGTGGCTTTAGGAGCTGTATGAATGTAATTTATTGTTGAATCAAATTATTCTAATGATTATTTTGGTCAAATTGATAGGTATTGTGCTCCAAGTTGGCCTCAACATTACTTGATGCCCATTCACTATTTGTGTTGTGTGTTGTTAGTTGTATGTTTGGAGGTTAAACAAATGAAAAGGAATATTGGATTACTTTCTCCTACAAAAATACACTCATTACTTCACACTAAATCCTGTTAAGTGCTTTGAGACTCACCTTGACTTGACCGACACTATATCAAATGCAAGGATTTTATTTTTTACTCACTTTTCAGCAGTCATTTTGTATTCAGGGCTCCCTATTTAGTTGCCCTCTTTTATTCTCTGGCTTAGTACAGTATTGTGGAGATTCTTAATCAGTTTAAACCTCATAGTATATCATTTGAGTTCCTTTGCTCCCTGCCTTGCTTTAGATAAAGGCCTTTCCATGCAGCTGCGTGAGACAAATCAACTGAGCAACATAAAACCAAACACTTAAAGGGACAGTGCCCTCGATTTTCTTCCCTTTTCTCCCCTCTCCCCCAGTATTTGATGGGATGTATTCATTTACATGTGCAGGTTGAACTCCATTCAAAGTATGAGGAATACTGTACCAGAGGTAGGTATTCAAATTTATTATTTAGCATGACTAACCAACACTAGGCTAGTGAGTGAGGAGCCAGTGGGTGGAAAGGGGAAGTAACCACAGGAGTATAAGCTTGTTTAGACCTCCCATTGAAGATGCCCAGCAGTATCAATCCTTATTGATAAGGGAACCTCGATTACAGCGCAGATGCATAAAATAGTCCAGCAACAGGCAAAGACTAATGGTGGACACCGTTTCAGCATTAGCTCATGAAATGGACAGTAGAGAAATCCACTACACAATAACATTTGTCAACTGCAACCTCAGAAAAGCATTTCCAGTCACACCAATCTTACCTTACCCTTTACCATAGGTACCCGTATAAGGTGTTGTTTGTATGATGCAATTTACCTCAATCACTACTGCATACAACATCTTAAATAATGAGTGTTTTCACTTCCTCAAGGCTACCGGGTTAAGATGTCCGTTGTTGCATTGTTGATGTAACGCTGTTGTTAATGTACTCTTGTGTGTATCAGGTCGTTCGGTTTTGTTGGAGCAACCACGAAAATCAGGCTCCAAAGTGATTAGTCATATGCTTTGCAGTCACGGTGGGGAGATTTTCCTGCATGTTTTGAGCTGTTGCCGGTCTATCCTCGAGGAGCCGCCTTCGATCAGTGAAGGGTGTGGAGGGAGAGTGACAGATTACAGGATTACGGTACGTCACTTTGGAATTATTACAATTTTCTAAACTGATTTATTTTTAATGTCCTGTCTGACATTGCTAATTGCTTGTTCTAATGGTTTGTGGAATCCTGTAGCTTAGTGGTTAAGAGTACTGTAGGATTCATAGTAACATTCCTTTTTTTCTTAGGATTTTGGAGAGTTCATGAGGGAAAACAGATTAGCTCCTGTGCTGGAAACCAGGTATATGATGGACGGGAATGTGGAAGTCCCCCTGGAGAGGGCAAAGTGTCAGCTGGAGAGACACACACGCTACTGGCCGATGATCATATCTCAGACAACCATCTTCAACATGCAGGCCGTAAGGGAACCTCGATTACAGCGCAGATGTATAAAATAGTCCAGTTTATCATTGGATTAAATACGCAGTGATCGCTAACATTCTGTTTCACAAGACGTGCAGGAAGTGACGTCAGAAGTGCTGCCGCACACAATAATCGACTTCTGGCCAACCTTACAATTCTGCAAATTGACTGTTTTTGTTGGCGATTCAAAATTATATTAGAATTTTTTTTTAAAAAAAAATGTTTAATGATGGAAATTAATTTCCCTCTTTGGAGAAAATTGGAAAATCCACCAAATACCAGGCAGGCAAACCTGCTACATGTCATGATACTTGTAACATTGACCACTGGCATATCTAGAGCTGTAAGATATTTGCCAATCCTTTGACTCGGTTTCATTCTCTCCTTGTCCTATATATGAATTCCAGGTGGTTCCTTTAGCGAGTCTGATAGTGAAGGAAAGTCTGACTGAAGAAGATGTTCTTAACTGTCAAAAAACTATTTACAACTTAGTAGATATGGAAAGAAAAAATGATCACCTACCCATTTCAACAGTTGGGACTAGAGGAAAGGGATCTAAAAGGTAAGGTGCTTCCTTAAGAATAAATTTAATACACAAATATAGTTAGTTCAAGGCTGTATATTCATATGAACATGGTGATGGAGGAAGTATGTAGCTATTATTCTGGCATATGTTGCGTAGCAACACTCCATGATTGAGTGAAGAGTTCTGACATAAAAGGAACAATGAGGCTTAAGTAGATTTATTTGTGTTTCTCCATCTGTGTCGCATAATTCATTATATGATGGTATAATTATATAATAATTAAAAAGGGAGTTTAGTTTAGTAGTGGAACAAGCTGCTTTTCCTACATTATATTTACTGGGAGTATTTGGAAGAGTATTTTTTGAATTCGTGAGTGTGAAGAAGAAATAATAGTTGTACTATAGTAATGAGTAAAACATTTTTTTTCCCCAGAGATGAACAGTACCGTATCATGTGGAATGAGTTGGAGACCTTGGTGAGAGCGCACTTGAACAACTCTGAGAAGCACCAGCGGGTGCTGGAGTGCCTGTTGGCCTGCAGGAGCAAACCTCCCGAAGAGGAGGACCGCAAGAAGGGCAGGAGGAAGAGAGAAGACAAAGAAGATAAATCCGACAAAGCCATGAAAGATTATGAGCCGGACAAATCCTGGCAGGATTCTGAGCGGTGAGTTCAGCTTCCACACAATCAGGTGGCTGATTGATGCCGTTTAGTTAAGATTTGACTGACAAGCCGAGCCAAGAACTTTTTGGATCTGTATCATAGTGAGACGTGTAGAGAATTAGGTACAACAAAAGAATTATAAATAATAAATACTACTAATAATAATTTGGTCCCTCAACCCACGAGTGTTTGTGGGACGCTGCTGTGCGCAATTGGCTGCCGCGTTTCGCCCACAACTACACAGTCAATTCACTTTACAGTATATCCTGTGAAGTGCTTTGAGACGTCTCAGACGTGATAAGGTGCTACATCAAGGCAAGGATTGTTATTTACACTGCGACATAATGTATTTTTCTTACTGCAGCTTTAAATTATTTCTGAAGGCAATCACTATTTTTTTGTACAGATTAAAAGGAACACTGGAACGTGAAAAAGAGGAGCTGGTGGAAGCTGAGATCATCAAAGATTCTCCCGATTCCCCAGAACCACTGAACAAAAAACCTCGGGTCAGCATAGGGGAAATTCAACCAATAGAGAAAGTTAAAGGTGAGTTGTATTGTGGCTTCCACATGTGTGTTACATAATAATAATCCATACAATTGATATATCACCTTATCAAGACTTTGAGACGTCTCAAAGCACAGGATATATTGTAAAGTGGATTGACTGTACATTTTGAGGGTGAAACACGAGCCAGTTACGCACAGCAATGTTTCTGCCTCCACGCTCTGAACGCCATCCCGGAGCCCCTCTGCCTCACGCGCTCCCTTGCCCATTCAAGGCCAGTCTCAAGACCGTGCCCTCCATCCCTCTCTGATCCCAACCCACAGCTCGGATGCAAACCTCATTATCCAGCGCTTTGGGGTGTCCTCCTGACGTGAAAGGCACGATACAGAAGCAATTTGTTGTTGTGGTTGTTGACAAAGCGTTTAGAAAATTTCTGAATAGTGGTTTTACATTGTATTATATGAATAAATTTTCCCCATGTGTCTCAATTTCCAGGGCCAATGTCCTTACTGGCTATGTGGACTAACCGGATCAATACAGCCAATTCAAGAAAGCATCAGGAATTTGCTGGGCGTTTGAGTTCAGTTAACAACAAAGCTGAACTGTACCAGCACCTGAAGGAAGAGAATGGGTCAGTCGCCTTTGCCACATAATAAGAAGAGTTTCCTTAACTATTCATTGTCATGTAATAGTGTAATAAAATACTACTGAGATAAGCATTCGAAAGCTCTCCATTTTCACTTTGTTAAATAACTTACAGTGATGCTATCAATATCGCCAAAATGTTATGCCACTTTAAGGTGTTGCTTTGCGTTAATATAAAAATCTCTCAATAGTTTTACGTGTTTTTTTGTATTGTAGGGTGGACGCACATGAAAATGGTAAAGCTAGCCGACAGTGAAGGGAAATGTCACGATGAGATGCCTGAAGGAGTTCTAGGTTAATTGTGACGCTGTGTGTAAAAAGTCAAGTGTGGAATTCCTGGGAAGGATCCAAGATAAATGTTTTACCTTCGACTTTGCAAAATGCTTCTGTTGAACTGAACTGCAGAGAAAAGTAAAGATTGTGACTCCATTTTGTGTAAGAAAACCCAGCAGAACTTTACTCTTTGTAAAAGTTGACATTTTCTACAACAAAACACAGAATTTTAAGACGATGTTCGTATAAATAAGCCTTTCAATGTTCTCCAAAAAATAAAAAAGTATACAAATTTGTGTTCCGTATTTAAGAGTTCTATTTTGTGTTGATGTTCCTCTTAAGTACACGTAAAACTTTTATGGTTTCTAAATATCATTCACCAAATATGCCCCTAGAAAATTGCATCTTGTCATAATTTATAGCATCATCAAAGTAGTTCATTGGAACATCTGCTAGGTTTCAAGACTGACAATACTTTCTGCTATTCTCAGTTGAATTCAAAGAACAAAAATATCCTGGCTTTGTTGGTTTTGTAATTTTCCTTTATGTAACTTGGTCACAATGATAATATGGTCAGTTGTATTGTTAAGTGTTGAGTGTGAATGATATGGAGGAGGGGGAAATTTTACATGCCATTCGGATCAGTTTAGTCTAATTACAAACAGAAATATTAATTGCTTTTGGATCGTTTAACATAAATTTTTTCTTTCCTGGGTAATAATCCCTTCAAAATAAATAAATAATAATAATGTGGTCACTCAATCCAGGACCGTTTGTGGGACACTGCTTTGTACAATTGGCTGCCACGTTTCACCCACAAAATATACAGTCAATGCACTTTACAGTATATTCTGTGAAGGGCTTTGAGACATCTTGAAGATGTGATAAGGCGCTGTATCAAATGCGAGGATTATTATTAATATAGACATTACAGGAATACATTGATTACGTTAATGGCAATTGTACACCAATTAATGTTTGTTTATTCATCTTAAGTATGTGGGTCAAACATGGAAATCCAGATATTCTGTTTTATTAGTTCATATTTAGAATCTATTTTCTTTACATTCAAGTGTCAATGTGACCCACACATTGTTTGGCAGTTTCAAGGATAATATTCAAGATGTTATGAATAGACATTCTTTGAATGTTTTGTGGTGTTTCTTGGGGAATGTAGTTCAAAAAGAGGAGGCAGTTGATATTTTGGTGGCTTAAAATGTAAATGAGTCACACGGCTGTTGTGATCAATTGTATTATTAAATGTTGGGTGTGATGGATATGGAGGAGGATGGGGTAACTTTACCCATCGTTGTGAGGAAGGCGACACCTCAGGAATAAGCATGGGAGGCTTTCTGGACCTAAGTCTGTCCAGTTCTAAGTGAGTTTGTGGAATCGGTTGGTTTTCCTGAAAATTCAACACCTCCGATGGCAGAATCTTCTCTGAGTTCCTACAGAAGTAGTAAATTATGACCAATAAGGCAATTAGAAGAATGAGAATCAAAGCGATGAGAAGGGACGGCCAAGTGTTTGGTAACCAGTAAGTACTGTTGGGTTGGATTATATTGATGTGTGTTGTGGGTATTATAATGGGTAAACAGACTCCTCTGTAAGTGATATTCTTAACTCTTTGAATTCTGTATTCTGGTAACATCGTTTCAACAAAGGAGGGACGAACAGTGTCATCTGGTAACCGCATGAACGCAAATAAATTTTCAATAGTATTAATGGGGCAGGGATCTGAGACACCGGTAGCTGAACATAAGGAGTTGTTATACCACAATACAAGCGTGGAACCTGGTTTGATGTCAAAGAGGGAAATGTATTTGCTATTGGAGTCATTAAAATATTTGGCAAGTTTTTCAAGAAAGTGGATAATTCTCCCTCTGTCTTTCAGGAAAGAGTGGTAACTGTTTTTGGTTCGGAGGGTGTACAAGTGACAGGGTGCATCACGTGACAGTTGGATTTCAATGACGAAGGTTTCTCGAGCGACCAGTCCTGCTGAATCAGCAGCCGTGAGCACGAGCTGCTGTGGGGAATATTGAAAGTCTGACTCCAACGGATACCCAAACAGCACGTTTAGAGATTGATTGAGTTGCAGCCACGACTCTCTCCCTGAAGGGGAGCCATCAGTTGAAGCTATTTTCAACGATAAGTTTCTTGTATGTCCATCTTCTCGATCAAAAAATGTATCTGCAGGGATTGAATATTCAAACATTTGCCCCACTGTTGCCGAGATCAAATCGATTGGTTTGAGTACAGTCGGAGAATTGTTAGGTTGAGCTGAAAGGACAATTCAATTAAAACGTGGTTATTATTGCTGCAAAGACTCGGTGATTAACAAACACCAGTTTATCACGTGTGATGCGGTGGCACTTTGTGCCGGAGAATCTATACTAACAACAAACAACAAGAAGTTGCATTTACCCAGCGCCCCTCACCCAGGAGAGTGTCACAGAGCGCTTAACAGTGGCAGAGCACGATGCTGAGCGGGGGGAGGAGGGGGGATGGGGGTAGGAGGGGGTGACTGTAGTTGTGGGGCGATCTACAGTCACCCCCTCTTCAGGCGCGATCTGAAGATGGGAAAAAGAGATTGATTTAAATTATTCTCTGCTCTGAGGACTGACTCATTTCTGATGTTCTGTTGCCAGGAATGACACGTTGGAGCCAACTCAGCAATTCAGCTCCAAGGAAACCCGGCTATTGTATGAATTGGTGGTGACAATGTAACTTACCACTATATTCTGTGCCAGGCATTTTGGCGGTTGATAAAATCCTCTTTGATGTATCTTCAAGACTCCAACTCTCAGTTGGGGTTTGAGATGAGAATAGGATCTTCATCGATGTGTCTTGGGTAACCGGATTCCTGTCATCAGCAGTTTGTGGTGTCGATCCTGAGAGACGCGATGTTGTCATACTTGGCTGACGTGTCCAGCGTGTGAATACTGCGCTTTCATAAGAGCTAAAAGCAGAGGTGACTAATTTTGACAGGATTGGCTTTGAAGTGTGTGATGTGTAACTCGACTCTTGAAGCTGTTTTGTGAAATAGTAAGTCCCTTGCCAAGCATACTCTGTGTGGGCTAATGTAGTATCCACCGGGTCCTGGATGCCTTGATGTATAGTAGCTGGGGATTCCGGAAAGTAGAATAAATGTGACTCTAAGGAGGGAAATAAGCTGTCAAGTGGCATTTCGGTCTTTAGTAGAGGTGAGGCTATGTGTCCCCAGTCTGTGGGTAAAATTAAATGACTGTAAATTGACTGTGCAGTAGAATATGTTAAGATTGCTTTGGATGCGAATGATGGCATGAGAGATACCAGATCATCATTAAGTTACACTGAGGATGTTATGGTTGGTGTTAGATTGTCACTTTGTGATCTGGATGTAATGAACATAGATTTTAGCTCATCCGATGAAACTACTTCATTCTGAGTCTCTGGGAAACACACAGGAGATCTAAAGGATGATGGAAATATCAGGTGCCCGTCCTGTGTGGGTTGATTAATGTGTCTGGATAATTGTAAAGGGGTGGAAAATTCCTGAACTGCAAATAGGGAAGAAGTTTGAGATAACAGGGAGGTCGGGGACAATGTGGAGATGGGTAAGATTAGATTGCCTTTGGTCGATGTTGATGGAGAGAGAGTAATAGTTACCTGAGAAGACCCCTGTGTTAGGCTAGTGGCTGGGAGTGAAGATATGAGAGAAGTAACGATAAACATTGAACTATCAAACAGTACAAGATCATCAGTGGATAAGGGCTGGGGAGTAAGAGAGTCAGGATGAGAGAGACTTGTGTAGGATGAGAGTGAATCCATGAGGACTGTTGAATACATGGACAGTATTGGATCCTGTCGAAAGGAGATTGATGGAATTAGTGTTTCTTCAATAAACGATTGCTTTAGCTCTCCCCCAAATGCTGAAGAAGGTGCAATATTATTAGTAGAATGAACAAGAGTGGAATAAAAGTAAGATGAGGTGAGGGTCAATTGATCAGTAAGAGATGCATCCAAAGAGGAGGTGAACACGACTTCATTTTGATCAGAAAATAAATGTGACCGAACTGAGAAAGTGACGGAATGTACTGTAGATTCTAAAAACATTCTGCCAGAAGTTTGCGCGATAATGCTTGTGGCAGTTATTTCAGATAACTTTTCTGTTTTATGAACATAAATAAATTGGGATGGACTTTGCAAGTTTAGTTGTGTGTTTGGTGTGATATAGTGAAAGCTAGCAGCTCACTGTTTAGAGTGTCTCCATTACTGCTAGAAGATAGTGAATTGATTTGGACATCACTTGTATTGGTATATGCAAAAGATAGCCTTGATGCAATATCAATCGTCTGAGGATCATCGATAGTGCTTAAAACTGTCTCTGCTGCCCGGAGCAGGCTTTCTGTGGTGCAGAAGGTCATGTTTCCGTTAGTTATTTTGGATCTTGAAAAGGCATCTTTTATGATTAACATCCCTCTTGAAAGAGAATCCTCCATGTTGGTGTGTGCTGTTACCTGGGACACGAACTCTGTTGTCGCAGTTAGAAAAGGCGAAAAATTAGAGAACGTCTGTCTATGTCCTGAAAAAAGCTGCAATGAACTCAGGAGATTGAGATGGGTTTCAGTCTTGATGTCTGATTCAGAATTGTGCATCGAATCATCCATAATACGATCGGTGAAGCCAAAGGTGCTTTTGCCCACTTCTGTTTTGGGAGATAATAAAAGACAATTTATTTACCGTTAATCAATTTGCCAAGTTCAATCAATAAAGAATAGTCACAATTCCTTCCCATTGGTTCAGCTTCGACATAATAATAATATGATGATAATTATCAACAAGGATAATACAAACGATTATGCTAACATCCTGCATTTGTGTGACTTTCTAAGTTCCTGATATGGAAGATCATTGAAGTTCTGCTTTGATTCTGTGATACTCCAATTTTTATTTATTTCATATTTTTATCAAAAAAATGCAAGGAATATTTCTCTGAAGATAATGGTGCTTTTTATTTTAAACATTGCTATTCTATAAAAGGCATATAAACATAAGTTGCTGTTTACCAATCACTGCATTCTTTGTCTCTCGAGAGAGGAAGATGTACTTTATTGATTGGAGATCCTTAGTTTTCAATGTAGACAAGAATAAGGACAACCAATTCGGGCATTTTTTCTCACTTACTACTACTACTAATACTTGTATTTGATATAGCACCTTATCACGTTGAGACGTCTCAAAGCGCTTCACAGAATATACTATAAAGTAAATTGACTGAATATACTGTAAAGAAACAAAATCATGACATCTCAGCAATTACATCATTAGTAATTATCAACATGTGAAATGAGCAGCCAATAGCGCACAGCAGTGTCCCATTTTTATGTAACTATCTGCTGTATCCTCAACTCCAGGGCCACTGCTGTCCTGACAGACTGTCTGTCTGCCCCCACCCTCAACTCCAGCGCTTTGGGACATCTAGAAGACGTGAAAAGCACTATATCAAATGCAAGGATTATTATTATTAGTATTATTGGCGGGAGAGCCTTCAGCCATTCTGCCCCCAACCTCTGGAATTCCATCCCCCAATCACTCCGCCTCGCCCCCTCCTTAGCCTCCCTCAAGACCCTGCCATCGGCCACCCCCCTTCCCCTCCCCCCCCAACCCCAGCTCGGGTCTGAAATACTGTACATTGTCCAGCACCTTGGGACATCCTCCTGACGTGAAAGGAGTTATACAAATGTAATCTTATTGTTGTATTTATTGAGAATTGAAACCTAACGTTCCTACCTGGTAAACGATGGGTGGTGAAGATATCATTTCGATCATCCTTGGATTCAGAGGGAAATTTTGGAGTTGAATCAGAGGCACTTGGTAGAATCAGAGGAGTTCTTAATGTACGGTTATCAGAACCCAATGTATTTACTATGTACGTCACCCAACTATCCCTAAATATTGCTGAAATGGCGGCAGTGTGCAGTTGAACATTCGATAGTCTGTTGAATAATGACTCACTGGAGATTGTGGACAATGAAAGTAAATGTGCAGAGCTGGGTGTTATCAGGTCACTACACAAAGTTTCAGCTCCTAACGTCTCTCGTTTGTGATCTCTGTCAGCGCTAGTGATGAAATCAGCATCTGTTAATACCATTTCAAACACAGGGTGTGAGCTTAATGCACTAGGTTTAGTTAGAGTGATTTTATCAGAAATTATTGACATTGATGATGACATTGACATTGGATTAGGTATGAACGTAAATTGTTCAATGGGTTTAGGTTGGATGATGACGACCGAGGAAGGCAGAATATTCACAGTATGAAATTCTGAGGGAAACAAACATATGGTCTGGGATGTTGTTGTGACCTTTGTTATGAACTCAGAAACTGTCATTGGAGTAGGTAATGGTTGAGACAGGAGTGTGTTTTTATCAGGTGATGTACTGAGGGGAAGGTAACTTGATGATGTAGTTGCAGAAAGACTTGGAAACAATAAATTGTCCAATTTAGTCAGCACATGCAAGGTTCCCCTCTCATCTGATATGGGATTCAATGACATTGTCAATAGAGGCAAGAATGTGGTCATTTCAGCAGACACCACTGTGAATGTTCTTGTCGGATTGAATGAAAGGACGAAACTGGATAAACTGCCGAAGTAAACCTTTGTGAGATTAGTAGATTCTGGTGGTTGATCAGAAGTGAGCAATGTTCTGAAGTAAGGGCTTTGTGATGGCTTTCCAGATACTGATGGAGAGATACTTTCACTCATTGAAATCCTTGGAGCTCTGGTATGCACAAACCTGCTCTTAGTGACATAATCAAGTCGTGGGAAGAAGTCAGTGTTCGACATGAACTTTTCCGACAAGTCTTGAGTTGCTACAGTGGAGGCAAGTCTACTGAAATGTGTTGGTTTGGGTGGGGTCATCACAGGCGTTGGCGAAACCATTATAACTTGACGACGGTGTCTTCTGTTCAACATGATTTTCTCTCCTCCCTTTCTGAATATTCTCCAGCCTGAAATGTGGTAGCCCAAATATTGTGAAAAGCGACCTGCGATAACATTGTGATTCAGAACCTGAATGAGTTCCCGCAACATCTCGAATCTTCCACAGCTTACAGGCCAATAGATTTCTGTAGCTTCCTGGTTTGTAAAATTCCGCTCGGAGATTTCAGAAGCCACAAGCCGGATGTTGTTCAGGCCGAGATCTGCTGTATCCCTGTAGCGACTCAGTGTTAGCAACAAGGGATCCATTTGAAGATAATCTGCCATTGATCTGATGAGAAACACACGACCTCTTGCTCTTAAGGAGAAGATACTGGGCTGGATGATAACCGCAGCATAAGTCATGGGATCGTCCATAGCACATCCTTGTAAACGTACACTGGAAATTATTTTGGGAAAAGTTAACATCTCTGTCAATCAATTGGCTGCCGCGTTTCGCCCTCAAAATACAGTCAATTCACTTTACAGTATATTCTGTGAAGCGCTTTGAGGCGTCTCGACGTGATAAGGTGCTATATCAAATGCAAGGATTATTATTATTTGTACTTACACCATTACTCTATTAGCAGAGTTGGTGTAAATTCAATTGTAATTCTCAGATTAATTATATCAATCAACATAAAGTGATTTACTAACTATTGTTAATTTCACTTAAAATCTGTTCAGTAAAACCAGTTCGCAAGTTACATAATGCAATTGGATTTCTGAGAAGATTAACAACAAGATTTTTCTAAGACAAAATAGAATACAACCTCACCGGATTTATTTTTACCGTAAAATGAAGGTAATAATGCATAAAGGACTGATTTTGTACTTATTGAAGTGAAAAAAGTCATACAACAACAACTTGCATTCATATAACCCCCTTCATAGTGTGGAGTAGCGATCTGGAGCACTTGACAGTGGCAGAGTCTGACCCCGAGCCAGGGAGAGGGGGAGGGGGGAGGTGACCATTAGCACAATCAAAAAGGAAGGTTATTACGCGGGATTTGAAAATGGGGAGGGAGGGGGCAAGGCGGAGGGTTTAAAGGAGAGAGTTCCAGAGCTAATATCCTACTTGTTTGGTGTTGGGAAGGTCTGGCCAAAGGTCCTCCATTCATTGATGTTCTGAGATTCATTGAAAACCAACAGATGAAAGGCTGTGGAGCTGTGAGTTACCTTGCCCAGGACAGTCACCTTTATACAGTAGCCACCAACATTATCGCTTGTTGGAAGGCCTTGCAGACTGCTTGTTTCAGCATTGTATTCCAGCCAGTTCGGTAGAGCGGGGGCATCAGCTAGGGAAACCTGGTATTAAATATAACTTAAATTATTGAACCAGTCATGAAAATATTTCACTGTAATTATTTCAACTGCATCTGGTTTATTTAGATAGATATTGCACAATTGCACGTTTCTCCCACACAATGCAGAGTCAATACACTTTGGAGTATATTCTGTGAATCGCTTTGAGACGTCCTCTGACGTGAAATGTACTGTACAAATGTAATTTGTTGTTGTTCTTATTGTGTCAAAGACTTGATAAGGCGCTATAGCAAATGCAAGGATTATTATTATTATAATTATTGTATTATTATATTATGATTATTGTTGTGGTCAATTGTGCACAGCAGTGTCCCACAAACAGTCGTGGATTGAAGTGACCAAATTATTATTTTTATTATTTATTTTTGGATGGGACTATATCCCCCGGAAAGTGATCCGCCAATCGACCAACAACCGGGTTCCTATGTGAGTAGTAAGGAAACTTGCCTAAGGTGAGGAACCTTTGCCCTGCCCAGGAATTGAACACAGATCATCTCGCTTGTGAGGCAAGTGCTCTAACCACACTATGCTACAGGACTCCACCAAAGCCACAGGTGATCACTCCTTTTGGCCCAGTGCCCACTGATGAAAGTGTGGAAAATACACCAGGTATCCCATTCCTGATAGCTGCCGGAAAGCAATCATAATAACATTAGTTGAGAACAAGATTGGGCTTGGCACTGATGCCGTTCGGTCAGAGAGCTTGTCCACACTCTTCATCCAAGAATGTGCTTGGGTGAGGTACCTGAATCCCAAACTTTAGGAGAGGATAAAAGATATTTGCCCCAAAATAAATGGAAATGGGTTAATACTTCAAAACTCACATCCCGTTTTAATAATTTTATTATTATTTTGATGCTGAATATCATCAACATAATTGCTTCAGGGGATTGCTAACCACATGTTTGACTTAGCACCTTATCATGTCTTCGAGACGCCTCAAAGCTCTTCAACAGAATATATCATAAGTGGAGTGACTGTGTATTTTGTGAGCGAAACGCGGCAGTCAATTCCGCACAGCAGCGTCCACACACAGTTGTGGATTGAGTGACCAAATTATTATCATTATTTGGAGGGATTATTGCCTACGGAAAGTGATCGAACCCGGATCCTCTGCTTGTGAGGTGAGTGTGCTAACCACTACTCTACAGGACTCCACTGTTGCACCAGTGTGTACTTTATTCACATGTTTGTGGTCGGGGGGTAAAGCTATTCCAGATGGGTGAATTTTCTTATCAGCTGCAAGAGTTGTGTTGGTGCGTATATTGCGCAGCGCAAATCCAATAGCTTGAGATGTTGCCCTGAGAAGATGACAAGGAAAGATGCAGCTCAACTGGTATCAGTGCCTCCAGCACCCGTCAGTCAGCCATGGGAGAACTGGAATAAACATTGCTATGCATTGTGATTGTGCATTACGCTGTCTTTGGCAGGTGGGACTGATTGTTTGCAGACTTCATGCCATTCCTCCGTGACTATTTGACAGGTGGTTGTTTTTTTTGCTCAGCCGGGTGTCTGAAACACGCAGAAACCCATCACCGTTGCTTAAGAGTCTCCAAACCAACTGAAAATTCTACACCTCCCCCCTACACACGGAAATCCCAGAGAGAGATTGTTGGAATGGAGTGCGCTCTCTCTCTCTCTCTCTCTCTCTCTGGAGGGACACATCCTGTTTACCTAATTCCGGAGGGTATTGGGCGGCTTGGGCGGAGCCCAGAGTGTGTGTAGTACTGTATTCCTGACTCTAAAGGTTGAAGATGGACTGAACTAGTCGTATATTTATAGTTGTGGAGTCCTGTAGCTCAGAGGTTAGAGCCCTTGCCTCGCAAACGAGAGACCTGGGTTCGATTCCCGGGCAGGCAGGGCGAAACGTTAGGCAACATTTCTTACTCCACACACCTCTGTCTACCAGCAGTAAGTAGGGACCCTGTTGTTATTCCATTGACAGATCATTTTCCAGGGGTAATAATTGTCTAAAAAAAAGTCACTCAATCCCCGGCTGTGTGTGGGACGCTGCTGTGCGCAATTGGCTGCCGCGTTTCGCCCACAAATATTCAGTCAATTTCACTTTACAGTATATTCTGCGAAGCGCTTTGAGACGTCTCAACACTGTGATCAGGCGCTGTATCAAATGCGAGTATTATTATCATATTAGTCTTGGTGTCTGCATACACACAATTAATTACCTTGTATTGGTTCACCGCTCCTGGGAAAGCAAGCAGTGGGAGAGTGTAGTGAAATATCTTTCCCACCATGGTTTTTGTATCAGGAATTCCCCGAAGGATCTTTAACTCTCTCGAACGCAGATACGCACAGTCTCTGTGATGGCGAGAAGATGGGGATGTGGGATCCGATGCGGGTAGAAAACCCATTACCCCTGGTAACACCAACAGCAAAGGCAGGTAGATGAATCCACGATCAAAATGTCTGATCCACTCGGTGATGTGTGTCCATAGGGCAGCCATCAATCCAGGATAACACCACAGCATTGTTATATCCCTCTCAATGTCACACCTCAGGCAAACTCTTCTTCATTGAAACCTACAACTTACTATTGTGTTAGAGACTCTCACCCGGTCCTTAAGTAAGGATAATTATCATCAAGTATTATCCGCGTTGTGTTGGGGGACTGGTACCGAAATGTGTTTTTTTAAAAATAGTATAGAAGATGGGAGGGAGAAAATCAGCCAAATGTAATAGCAAAACAATGCCTTATTGTTGGGACAGAAGTCTTTCTTATCCGGCTGCAGAATGAAGGTTTCACCTGAAGATTCAGTTGCTCTGTCTCCTGGATACCGAACGCTGGTGGCCTCCAAAGGGGGGGATTGCAATATACAACCTGACCGTGATCGAGGTGAGCGACTGCACCGTTTATAATTACAGTAAACCTCGCGTAATTCTGATCTGTAAACGTCGTACAATCGGCTTAAGTCGTACACCTGTCTGCCCAAGTCCCCTTTCAATTTCCTGTTACTGTACTTTGCATAAATAAAAACACAGTAATAATAATCCCTGCAATGGATATAGCGCCCTATTGCATCGTTGAGATGTCTCAAAGCGCTTCACAGAATACACTGTAACATGTAGTGACTGTACATTTGTCGGTGAAACGCGGCAGCCAATTGCGCACAGCAGCGTCCCACAAACAGTCATGGATTGAGTGACCAAATTGTTTTTTTTATTTAGATTATTATCCACGGAAATGTGATACGCCAATCGACTAACAACCTGGTTCCTACTTACTGCTCGGTAAACAGAGGTGTGTGGGGTAAGGAAACTTGTCTCGGGTTTTGCCCTGTCTGGGAATTGAACCCGGGTCATCTCGCTTGCGAGGCGAGTGCTCTAATCACTGAGCTACAGGACTCTTAAAATAAATGGTGGAATTTCAAATTCTGTACAGTTTATAATTGTTCTTGTTCCATCAGGGGGTCGCTTTCTACTTTATATCCACCCACAAGTGTGTGGGTGAACTTGTACCTTCTAAAATGCACATTTTATTAACAACATTCTTTTGCAAATGGAAGTTCTTTAATAAAATGATATCCCGCAAAAACAGTCATTCCTGACAGCGGTTATGTGTGAAGCGTTTTGAGACATTTTCAACCCGATAATGTGGTAAAGAGCGAAAAAGATATAATTTATTTCCTTATACAGTAATCCCATGAAATACCTTATGTAACACAACCTGTCGATGACCCTTTCAGTAAAGAGATATCTTTTACTGTCTGCTCAGAAATCGCCCTTTATGTCCTTGAACCTGTAACTTGTTGACCTGCTGCCTTCACGTCGCGCAGCATAACATTGTGACATAATAATAATAGCAATAATAATCCTGGCATTTGATACAGCGCCTTATCAAGTTTTCGAGATGTCTCAAATCGCTTCACAGAACATACTGTAAAGTGTAGTGACTGTGTATTTGTGGGCGAAACGCGGCAGCCAATTGCGCACAGCAGCGTCCCACAAATAGTGATGGATTGAGTGACCAAATTATTATTATTTTTAAGGTGTTATTATTATCTTCGACAGCTATTATCCTGTTACTAAAAAAAATT